TTTCTGGAGAGCCTCCCTTCATCAAATTTTAAGCATTGAAATTTAGATTTTGATATAAGGTCATTAGTTTTTGTTTAGTTTTTTCAAGAAAAGGCATCAAATGGGTTTAACACCGGGCTAATTTTCAACCTTGAGTGTCTTTTTAACACCGGTATTAACATGGGTTCTAGTGTCAACCTACTCCTAACTTGGGCCTCAATTTAGTAAGTTTCCAAATGATTCAATAGTGTTCGAAAAACCTTCCAAAAGCTTTATCTACAGAAGTCACTAATACAATCTATGGGAACTTTTGTAGAGTAGAATCTTATTTATAAAGTTATTTTAACATTATCGAATCATTTGGAACGCGTATTAAATCAAAGCCTTAATTCTATTTCACTGTCAAAATGTCTTCTCTTTTTTTTTTCTAACACCATGTTTTTTGCATTTACTGGAATTGTGAAATATCTGAACAGTAACTATGTCATACCACTGAGGTAAAATGGAAAATTGTATATTAACAAATACAAGTACTTAGAAAGGTTTTTTTTTTTGTCTTCTTCCTCATAAAAACTACGTACATTTTGTATTTATCTTCCAACAATGAAAAACCCCAAATCAAGACCATAGAGTTTTATATTTTTATTGAATGTATTTGTATATTCAGCGTTTTACAGGTAATCACAATTATTAGTCAGTTATTAGTCATTACTATTCACACAAATCATTTTCCCTTGTTGTTTTGCCATAACTGATTAATTAAAAGTTTAGTATATTCAGAAGAAATACAAAATGGTCAGGAACCAAACGCACAATACCACAAAGTAAATCTTAACACAATTTATTTATGAAGTGAACAGGCGTCAAGCCAGACTGATAAAATTATAGTTTGAGTACTGATACATCAGTCATTGGCTACTTCGTATTTATTGACATAACTTATCTGAAACAAGAATTTATAAACAAGAACATATCATTTTCCTCCATGGTACATATATCTCTCCTAAAAAAATGAGCTGTTTGCTCATAAAGCCTAGCAATTCATAGAACAGCAGGAGTTTTGGTAGTATATCACTCTATGGCATGCTTCCCTTTTTCGAAATGTTATAAAATAGCCACACATAGATTGACTGTGTTTCTCTTACAGCTCCAGCTGGGGATGGTTATAAAAATGTAGGGCATCAGTGCTTTTAAGCAGCATTTTTTTACTTTATTTTTGTTTTCCTTTCCTTATGCCTCCCCCATCTTAAAGGAATACTGTAGGATCCATAACCACTTCGACAGTTGAAGTGGTTATGGTGCCTGGATTATCTCGGAACTTGCTTACCGGTCTACTCACTCTTTAGCATAGATTTTAGATGCCTGGCCCCTAATTATGATATGGCAGCGTCTGTGCTATGCTTCTATGCTACCATCTCATTCTAGGGATATGGGCAGTCGTTGACTTTAAAGCACTATCACTGCTGAGTGTTCCGCCTTTGGCATTTCATCATTGGAGGCCAGACTGCAGGCTGCCATGGACCAAGCCATGCTAAAGTTGAGTAAACTGTTTAATGTTGATGTGGAATTCGGGGGCCTACGGCCTCCAGGCACCATAACTACTTCAATCAGTTAAAGTTGTTATTTTGTCTACAGTCTCCCTTTAATTCTTGGACTCTTTTCCTCGCCACTTGCCTTTATTTATATTTCGCTTTTCTTTCTTGCACTAGATTTCAATATCTGTAAGCAGCCATTTTGTCGTCCTCTGTCAATGATGGCAAGTTATGTCAACTTGATTGATATACATAAGGGAAAGTAGTCTCTTTCCCTTCTGTACTTTACAAAAATTAGAATGCTCAAAAAAAAAAAAGAGAGATTCAGACACCAGGAGCTAGAACGAAGCAGATTAGATAAAGTTTATATTTGATGACAGCCATTTTAAAGACCTGGTGAATACAATTTCCACATTGATGGCTAATGGACATCTCTTGTCACGTGATCAATTCCTCCTGTATGTGGTGAAATTTCATCTTCTCTTATAGGAACAGTAAGCATGCAGCCCTGTTGAACCAGATTCAAGTCACAAAATAACTTCTAATCATAACAACGACAAAAAATAGACATTTGTACATGGCATCTAGGGGGAGTCTGGCAGTATGTCAGTTATAGTAAAGTCTAGGCCAGTCATTAGTATCAAAGATTTCCTAAAATTTATATAGTAATAATAATAATATCTTATTACTTAACCAGAAGGGATACAATGATCAGTTGATTGATATATAGACCCTCAGGTTCTGGACGCTGTCTCAGGGTAAATTCACTAATGTGGGAATTGTTTGGGGTCAGAATAGTAGAGGTTTGGATTTTTTTCAATCTATTTATTTTGACCTAGAATGTAAAATTCACTGCCCAAGACCTAGTTTAGTGAAACATGGCCTGTGAACCCACATAAAAACGAAACAAAAAAAAACCAAAACAACATATATAACAAGATTTTTTTTTTCCTTTCTGTGGTGAAGTCATTTAAAATATTAGAATCTTAAAGGGGAACTCCACACCTTTTTATCTTGCAACTAATCATTGTTATAAGCTCTGTCCTTTGCACCTGGCAGTCAGCATAGAGACATATACAGAGAAGAAGAGAAATTAAACATTCTTTCTATTTCTCCTCTTCATTTGCAAGGTTTGCCCTGACTTTGTCTTGTCTGAACTGGTTTATGTCATCATTAGCTAAATCATTAAAATACATTTAAAATAAGATGGAACATCTAATAGAAAACAGGCCAACAAAATCATAGGTGATTTTCAATGTTTAATCTATGGTGTGGAATTACAGAGAAGAGACGGTTCCCCTTTAACAGCAAGGAAGCAATAAGCCCACTGCCAGCCCCCACTGGAGTTGAAAACATTAATGTCACTGAAAGTAAGGCCCATCATGCTTAAACAGAAATGTAAAGAACTATCTGGTGCATTACAACTCAGCAAACTTTTAAAATCTCTACCCAGTGGCATCCCTACCATAGGTAATACCTACCGGGTTACCGGCAAGAGGGGAGCACTGTGCTGCTTCCCTCCTACCGCTGCATGTAGCGTGGCTGAGTGGTCTTTCAGGAAGTGCTGACAGAGAGCACTTCCTGTCAGATGGACAGGAAGTGCTCTCTTTGAGCACTTCCTGAAAGACCGAGGTGAGGAGGTACAGGAGGGGAGGGAGGAGATACACAAAGAGGTGCTTGTGGGTGTGAGTGAATGGAACATATGGAGGGGCTGGGGGGAGGAAATGAGACACATGGAGAAGCTTTGGGGGTTAGGAAATGAGACACATGGAGGGGCTTTTGGGGTAGGAAATGAGACACATGGAGGGGCTGGGGGGAGGAAATGATACACATTGAAGGAGTTAATGGGGAATGAGACTAATTCAGGGGCTGGGGTTGAGGGAATGAGACACATGGAGGGCTAGACGTGGAGGGAATGAGACACATGGTGGGCCTGAGGAGGAATGAGACACATGGTGGGCCTGAAATGGAGGGAATGAGACACATGGTGGGCCTGAGGAGGAATGAGACACATGGTGGGCCTGAAATGGAGGGAATGAGACACATGGGGAGCCTGAGGAGGAATGAGACACATGGAGGGGCTGGGGGCGAGGGAATAAGACACATGGATATTACAAGATCCAGGCTTATGATACCCAATATAAGAACTTTTGTACTAGCAGTGAGTAAACAAGAAGTGCAGAGACGAGGAATAACTGGTGGAAAGTTGGACAGAGTAAAAAATTAAAAGTGGGTTGAGGGAAGAGCTATGGAGGTAACGCAGGAGGTAAGTTAGATATGGGTCTACGGCAGGATTGTAACCACAACTGCAATAGGAAAAAAGATAAATGTCCTTTTTGTTGGCTAAAAAAAGGCTAAAGAGCTTTGGGGGAAGTATATGTCCCAACCTCTATTAACAAAAGAAATGCAAAGTGATGTAAATGACAGTGTTTTTTTTAATTGTATATGTACATTAATGTGTTAATGCTACACTTTATAATTATTTGGCGCTACCTTTCACCTCTATGCAAATGCGCATTTTCACCACACAATCTTAAATGTGTAAATTTAGGAAAAAACTAGTAACTAAATGTCATGTGTGAAAAGAAAGAAAACAAAAAACTATTTAGTCTATTCTAAATTCAGCAGTATTCATAGGAACATTTTTGGCTTACGTCTACATTATCCATAGAGGGAATAGAAGATATTTTGAGTTTAGTTTACATTTAGGAAGTTGTTGTATGATATGATTCTATGAATATAAATAGGGTCAGGGCAAACAGATTTCAGGTGACCTGTTCGTTGTACAGTACTGTAAAACAAACATGGTCCTCATCGGTAGGAGATGAGCAAGGACTGTGCACATACGATATATGGAATTTACTGCTTAAGACGGGTTCTGTTGGAAAAAAACAAGAGCTGGATTCTGCTTTGAAATGCTTTTTTTGAACTAGCAGCCCAACAGGACATGGACAATGTTGAACCTGATGGACTTTATGCAACCTAAAGAGTCAATGACTATATTACTTTGTCATCATATTCCTAGATAACTGACAGAATTCTTTGAAAATTCCTCTGATGTCACCTGGTTGACCTATTTAATCAGGGCTATCGAACAAGCTTCTAATCCTGGCAAAGAATAACAGACCAAAAGCAGTTAAAAGTCTACACTTTGTGCGATAAACCCTGATTATTTTAAGTTCAAAGCAATAAGGCCAGTGCCACGCTGCTTTCTGATGGCAGGGAATTCTCAGCTATCCGTTTCACACCTTGCATGATATTGTGGCAACTTTATTCCTGCTGTGAGCATCTAAACTTTCGGTAAGGATATAAATATAATTTTTCACAGAATGTTGGCTTTAGATATTGTGATATTACATGTTTAGGGAACAGAATAAAGTAGCACAGCTATTTCAGTTTCTCTGCAAACAGCAAGACAGGTACAGTGTTTTAAGATTACAGTTTAATCCCTGCTGAGGTACTCATATCTTTCTGTGTTTTATATTTGTTTTTATATATCTACTCAAACAATTATTGTTTTGTCTGTTAAAAGATATCCTAGTCGACCTCTAAAATCAACAAAGGAAATCAGGACATTGCTTATTTTTGATTGGTCAATTCATCAGAGGTTGTAGAACATGACCCTCGGGCAATCAGAGGTCATTATCAAAATAAAAATGGATTTACGAAGTAGCGGCGAGCGTTATCTTGAGCTGCTAAAACTAGAGGTAATGTGTTTTGTGCCACCATTTTAATGTGTTTGTAGTAATTAACAATATATAAATTCACATGCAAGCCAAAGGGCAGGATAACTGATAGAAGGTTTCGTAATTTGGGAGAGAATTGTGGCTCATTTCTGGACATTGTCTTAACATACATAGTATTTGCGGAACCTTTTATTCCACATACTGAAACATATAGTGTCTTGTTTTTAAAACATTCAGAGGAATTTGAGGTAAAACAGAATATAGTCATAAACACAATGAATGCACAGCCTATAGCAGAATAATTTACAATACTTTAAAAAAAAACGATCAAAGGCTATGTAATCGATCTTTGCCCAGATGCAAAGCCATGTTTCTGTCATTAGTGGACTGGTCTGAAAGTTGGGTAGGTAAGGGGTGAGGGAGGCTGAAGAACCTCCCCGAGCTGAGAGGCATACCCAATGCACTCTGACCAGGTTTATAGTACGTTTTTAAAAGTTTATTACATACTTTCAAAGGTGTTTCTGGTTTATTTTGCTTTATATATTTGTTTCGTTGCAAGCGTTTGCTTGCTCGTTTAAAATAAATTGTCCCCTCTAAAGAAGTAGGAATGTCATTCAACAGCGTGTACAAGTTGTTCAGGCCTGATCTTGATGCGTCTTGAAATTCTATTTTTCATTTTCATTTTATTCATCATTGAACTGCAGCGCAGCACTCCCTTACTAATCACTGTATAGTTGTCCTCATGAGACACACATGCTTTTGTGAAATATTTATTAAATCCCACACACATAATGGGTGACATTAAAGATAAGCACTTTAACAGATACATTGAAATATTTTTTTTCTTTTGCAAATGAGCAAAAAATCCATAAAGTGCTACAAAAACTGCATTTATATATATATATAATATATAAAAAAAACACAGCCTATATTAAGAACAATGATTGCAGAATTACTCAGACAACAGGAAGATTAACCCTTTCCTGTCTGACAGTCGTTAACACAATGGGAAAATCCCCTTTCAGCAAGTTTAATACAGTAGTCCATCAATCATATAAATATTTAATTCCTCAATAAATATAATTTTACATAAAAATATAGCTTAACATTGCTACATACATGTACCATATAAGAGCAGTATGTTAATAAACAACCTATGCTAATTAAAATATTCTTTACAAAACATCACAATTGACTGGCCATTTTGATGACATAGCTCAACATACATCAGTAGATAAGACTACACGTGTTCACAAGAAGAAAACAGACTTTCCTAGTCTTGTATATAAAACAAACCTGTTAACAATTCTCCATTCTTTTCAAATATTCCACTGCTCATTAGACAGATTCCTGCACGTAGCCAATCGAATATCTGATTTATTTTCGTCATTTATGATTCATAGTAAATTTTGTTTTCTACAAGTATATTTCAGGACTATAATAAATAAGTTTATATATAAAATTATATTTGGTCATTTATGAAATGCTATAATAATTAAACACATATATAAATAGATAAATGTTACTGTACCTAAAAGTAGCCAGCATAAATTTCGAGAAAAAGACGGCCATGTTAATTCTGTACAGAATAGCTCAGCCATAAATACGGCATAGGCAAAATAAATAAATAAATAGTAGCTTTTAGATATATTCAACTTCAAAAGCAGATTTAGGTGGAGAGAAAACGGTAAAACAGTAAGTGGTATCATGCCAAATGCCACTGTTAGAAATTAACACTGTTTGTCCCAGCTCCACCAAGTCAGCTTCTTAACAGCATTGTTCCCTCTGAGCAATGTTCCGTCCAAGAATTAGTCATTAAATGTCTCATGCACTGGACAGCAAACTTGCTTTCAATCTCTATTCCCAAACACTTGTTTGAAAAAGGTTTAGCATCAGCAAAAAGTAGAAGTGCATGTCTATAGTCCACTCAAAATGCAGGCAGTCTATAGCAAATTAAGTGTTGATGGATATATACATATCACAGAATGCCAGTTATTTTAGTCCTTTTTTTTTATTTTAAGTATAATATATTTGTTAAATATTTGGTATTCAAATGAATAAATAAATAAATATGTTTGTGTGTGTGTGTGTGTGTGTATGTAATTACACATACACACACATTTTCCAGTGTTACGCTCCTCTTTGGTTTAATTTCCTTTGCGCCATATGTTCTCAGTTGGCCAATGGAGTACAGCAATTTAGGGAAAAAAATGCAGCGTTGGGGGTGTATTCTGCCACTGCATGCCTGGCCATGAGTGAACAGTTGTATTCACAGCAAAGTTTTCTGGATGAATATGGCATTATAAGATACGTGATGTTGTCATAAACATTAGCATGTGCTGTCAATCAGTCCTAAACCATGCCATAAAAGAGCCCTTGTAATAACTCACTACAGGCCACCATTCCACAATGTGAGGTTCACCTCCAATAGGACATTAAGTTACTGCAGAGCAACAGTATTGTTGAAAATATCTGGCCTGAGACAAGGCAAGGGCATTTTTGTTCCTCTTCTGTCCTGACATGGGAGCATATCTGTACTTCTGACACAAACCTGGCCCCCTCAGGATTTACACCTTTCAGTTACAAGTAGCCAGTTTGGCAAATGGGCAATTTGTCATTTCAGAAGATCATCATTAACGAATCCCAACAAAAACAAGTTATATTAAAACATAAGACAGTTGTTGGGCAAACAGCATGAATATAAGTTTGTCAAAACCTTACTAATCGTAACAAAACATTAATGCACACACCTCTTTACTACACAGATATTACAAATTAATTGATCGTCCTCCTCTCCTAGTCTTTTTGTCCAGCGATATGTCTGAACTTAATTAATAACTCTGTTTTGTAAACTTGTCTTAAGTAAATAATAACATCTACAACATCACATAAATATGTATATATACACATATAACTTTCTATAAGGCCATCTCTGGGTATAAGTATTTATATCCTTGAACAGAACTTAAGAACAGACTAGGGGTATCCATCAGTTTTAGGCAACCTAAAAATCCAGGTACTGTTGATTACATTTCCTAAAATTATCAAACAGCACCTATGGTGCTGGACGTAGCCTCTACATGCTATAGAGCATCTATATCCAAGTAACGGCACTCAAGGAGTTTAGTGTGGCCCCTAGTCTAGCAAACAAAAGCAACATTAAAATACTGAACAGTGATAAGGAAATATAACGCTCATATGAAGTCTATTTTTCGTTATTTTACAAAAAAAACAACTAAACTGTGTATACAGTGCTGCCTGCGTTAAAAACAGAACAAATCCAACTGGGTCCTGTGCAAAAATTGGAAATCTTATAAAAGATTTATTACCATCAAGATTTTCAGTCTAAGTAAAAATCATATGTATTCTAGTTGGCAAATGGCTCATTTCGGTAGAAATTAGACCATTGCTCGTTCCATCATACTCGGTGGCCCCTGAGCCAGAGTCTTCGTAGCTTCATTCTTTCTAGGCATCGTTTTGATGTTGTCTACTAGGATCATGAAAACTGCAAAATACAAAGCAGTAAATCATTTATATTGTAGCAAAAAATTGTAATTACTGCTAAATAACAAGCACTCGTTGCTTGAATAATTTATCCAGCATAAGCTGAACGAATGCTTTTTCTTTACAGAAAAAATCTGAAGCAGGTGTGCAGCAGGTGCAATTTGGAAAGAGACCTTCCAAGGGGATTTTTAAAAAGCCATACTTTGGATGGTGTACTAACCAAGGATCTCTTCAAAGTTTACAAGTTGTTTAATTTGTTCCGTGTGCATTGAATGCCTTCGAAGCAACATTTTCTTGCTTTTTGATTCTTTTGGGAATAGGGGTGCTGATGGAATCATAGGTTTTGTGGCTGTAGACACAACATTGATCATTTTGCCATGGCCACTAATATCTGGGATGGGTGGGTGTGGATTTACATTAAGAGGCGGAAGAAACCCTGGCCTAGTCTGAGCAATGTGATCTAGGAGTAAGGCTCCAGAACCTCTCCTTTCTAAAATGGCATGATTCCGTCTGCTTAATGTTGTTACGGAAACATTCTCTAAAGATTCTCTGGAGCCAAACAGCATGGAAGGTGGAGAAAACATTTTCTTCTTTTCTAGTAAAGATTTGCTGTCCTCTGATGAAATTGGTCCCAACCGGGTCGTGAGTTGAGAGTCAGAGCTGTAATGATTTGCTCCTAAATTTCGTCTCTGAACAATACTTTTTAAGCTTGAAACAGACATTGCCTGCATTGAATCTGGGTCTTGGTCAACTGGGACCTCTGATTTGGTGGGTATGCTTTCATTATATAGTGAATGTGAATGGATCTCGTCACAGGACATCTTTCTTGGGCCTGCAGATTCAAGAGTTTTCAAAAGATGGACAGCATCTTTAACATCAATGCTCTGGTGTCTTGTGAAATAACGCTTGGATAATACTGAGTTGCTCATCTTAAGAGAGAGCTCCTCTTCTGGTGTGATATCTTGCAGCTCCTCATGCAAAGAGGATACTTTATGTTGGTGTAACAGTGAAGGTGGTATCTTCAGCCAAGGTTCAGAGTGTAAACGCTGGAGAAGTGGTAGCTTTGGTCCAGCATGTGATATATGAGGTTTCCTTGTTGGAGATCCTGGCTCGGAGGAACCCTTAAACCCACCACATGTATCAGCTTCTTTAAAACTAAAGAGTTCTTTTTCTGCTTCACAAGCAGTTGAAATTGGTGTGGGAGAGGTTTTCAACTCAATCTCTGATGGTGATGTACATGGACTGGGAGAATTGCATTGTTCTGCACCTGGAGATGGTGGGACGTTTAGATATTGTCTTGTAGTCTGCCGCCCAGAAGCAGACTTATCTGTTGTGATAATAATTACCTCTTTTCCTTTGGCTTTACAAGCATTGAGTAGAATCTTTAGAGTCTCTTTATCCTCGGAATTCACAGCATAAACCAGTGCAGAGAACCCAGTTTGGTCTTGGATGCTGGGGTCAGCGCCACTTTCCAAAAGCAAAGAAACCACTTCAGCACCAGTATTTTCCAGGCATGCATGCATTAAGGCTGTTTTTCCAAATTTATCTTGGATATTTGGATCTGCATTATTTTCCAACAGATATTTTATCATTTTTACTTTGCTCACACTTTGGTGGTCTACATGCTTGGTCTTGCAAGCGATCATCAATGGGGTTTCTCCACGATCATTGCTCTCATTGATGTATGCTCCTCCTTCTAGCAACAATCTTGTAAGGCGTAGTCGACTTTGATAAACAGCTTTAATAAGAGAGTTACCTTCTGTCGTTACATCTACTGTTTCATCCATGGTTGATCTAGTAGCTTCACCCTTCTGTCTAATAAAACCTATTGGAGAGAAATAAGACATTGGTAAAGTAAAAAAAGCTACTGATCACTTCTTATGACTCATTTCTAAATATAACATTTAATTTAGTGTGTTATGATCCTTTTTTTTTTTTTTAAACTTATAATTAAAAAAGCATTAGCAGTTTTGAGGAATATTTAAGTTGTCTCCTGTGATCACAGGAAATGTCATAATGAGTTTCTTCTTTGAATAATACTCAAGCATGATATCTTATCTTATATTCTTCTATTGGAAATATAATGAACAAACAAACAAAGATTTTTTTAAATAAACTTTTTTTGGATTATTATACCATATCACAGGGTTCCTTGTTGAATCAGCCAAAATAAAACATAGTTTCATAATACCGTTATCAATCTTTTTTCTCTTGCCCTTACATGAGTGTATAATCATAAAGAAAACACCACCAAAAAAAAGAGTAATTGGTTAAATTCTGATTTATTTTCCACCTTAGTGAATAAACAAAGTAATTCAAAAAGGGAAGGTAACTAGAAGCACAAAGAATGATTATGAAAAAGCTGTGTCAGAGGACAGGAAAATAAATGTCTACAGTTGAATAAATGTGTGCAAACTAGTGTAACTAGATGTGGGAAAATAGAGAAACTAGGGAGCAGCTGAAGGAGAGAGGAATCAGTGAATAATGTTGGGAAACAAAATAGAAACTAGACGAAATGGGCATTGGAGAGACGTGACAGAGTTAGGAAAGGCAGGAACGAACAGCTGAATTGAATATATAGAGAAAGAGCTGTGTAAAGGTCCAAACAAAACTGAAAAGGGTAGGGTGTGACCAACGACTGGTGGACTGAGAGAAGATATTGGGAAAGAAATAACAATTAAATGAATGTGATCTGAACAACTAATAAAAAGAGCAGCTAGCGAAGAGAAGGACATGTGTTCTAGAGTGAGTGGGGAGGCGTATTATGTATTCATTCAAAACATATCAATAATTCTAGCCCTTCTCCTTCCAAAAAGCTCCTTGTACAGGCCTGTGGACAGAGGGACTAATTCCACTTACCTAAGGAATGCTAAAATATCACTGTGGGACATTAAGGGATATTCATCTGTTTCCCCAATACCACTTAGTAGGACTCCTTATATACCACTATTCTATTTTGTGCCCCACTGCTAGTTAAACGGACACCATGCTTTATATATGGCTGCAGTATCCAATTAATAACTACATATAATGATGGGATTAGATACACCTGCATTTTTCAGCTTTCATATCCTTGTATATGTGTAGTATAGAGATTCGATATCATAATTTGTTTTAGGGAAGCTTTTTGAAAAATATACAGGATACTAAAGTATAGCCATAAAGTATACTTTAGGGCTGTGGTGGTTAAAATATTGCTCTGAGGTATGTATAGGTGTCCCTAAATGTTTAGCAACGCTTGTCCAGCTTTTTTTTTTTTTGCCATCCAAGGTTGGCGGTAAAGCAGAAATATGACATTGATTTTATCCAAATGTTGGTAGGGGGGATACTGGGTACTTGGAAGATCACCAGTTTTTGACAAGACATTTGTTTGACAAAAAGCCAAGATGTGGTACCCAAAGACTCACTGCACTACAATGAGATGCTGCATAGAGTGTCTCATCAATTAAGCACTCCATTCAGTGCTAAGAACATCACAACTTCTGTACATACCTGAGAAGGAGACACAGCTAATTGCAAAACCTGTGAGTTAACGCTCGCTTGTCCTGCTAAAGTCCGATGAGTTCTCTTTCTAATCTCCACGCAAATCTGACGCAAAATGATTATTAGCCAATTTTGAGAATACCTCCCAAGTTTTCAATGAGGTAAGGGGGGGTGGGAGGGGTACACCTAATGAGTGGGCCCAGCCACTGAAGGGTTGTGTGAGCCTGGCATTGAAGACAGCCTCCCGGCTGGCCCCCTACATACAAGAGCATGCATAGAGCAGTGCCGAAGCACTCTCTGCTTGGTCCTAGTGTCCACTGTACAGAACGAGGGTGTCTAATGATGCACTCATGCTGTGCAGCCCATGGACAGTTTCCTGATGTCTTCAGATGCAGGAAAAACTAACGAAACTGGGGTACCGGGACAGGTCCCTGAAATCAGTTGGGAGGCATGTTTGAAAATAGAGTGTGTTCCTTTTGGAAATTAAATATTTAATTTGCCCTTTTAGTGCCATAGTAGAAAAGATGTAGATTTCCAGACATTCTATAGACATGTAGGAAGTTCTCAGGTATGTTTTTATTTATAATTAGTGATGTCCCGAATGGTTCGCCGAACAGTTCGCGAACGGTTCGCCACGGACTCATCATTGAGTAAACTTTGACCCTGTACCTCACAGTCAGCAGACACATTCCAGCCAATCAGCAGCAGACCCTCCCTCCCAGACCCTCCCACCTCCTGGACAGCATCCATTTTACATTCATTGGGAAGCTGCATTCTTAGTGAGCTGTCCAGGAGGTGGGAGGGTCTGGGAGGGAGGGTCTGCTGCTGATTGGCTGGAATGTGTCTGCTGACTGTGAGGTACAGGGTCAATGTTTACTCAATGATGAGTCCGTGGCGAACCGTTCACGGCGAACCGTTCGGGACATCACTATCTATAATACAACACATGATATACATTGTATCTATGTGAATTGTCCTTCAACCATATGGAAATATACATGAATGTAATAATGTAATGTTGTTATAGAGGGAAAGTGTGTGTTGACTCCATTGCCATAGTATGCATGTCTTCGCGAGGAACAATTTAGCCTTCAATATGACATTTCATTCATGAAAGTGATTCCCATGCGTACAGAGCTTTCAATATTTACTAACCAATTCCACCCACGCCTCCCATCACTTTTATCTAGTTAGCTTTTGATCTGTATGGAAAGTTGTTCACGTAGGATTTAATTTCGCCGTTTGCAAAATAAAACATAAAGTATTTACATGTATTCTGTGTGCACAGACACTGCACTTTAACAGGAAGGCAAAAATGCACTGAATTCTTTCCAAACTAACAGAAAATGTATACCAACAGACTGTGATGAAGATTGCAGGATTTGTGCCTATCCCTCCCACACACTGCTTTGAAAGCTAGCAATCGGAATCTGCAACCAAGATTAAAACTGTCTCTTTCTCTTGCAATGATGGCAATAACCAGGGGTTTCAGCCCAAGGGTAAATTTAATGGGCCCATCGATGAGCAGGTAGAGAAGATAAGGATGTGTTCTAGGAGTGAGCATTATCTGCTATCAGAACCCCACCCTATACCATACCTGTGCTATTTCCTAACTTGTTATTATGACACGGAGGACACCAAATCTTTGAATAAATCCAGAATCATATATAAACCTATATTTACAGTCTTCAAACCTTCTGTATTAACCTCACAACTACTGTATTAGCTATCATATCATCTGTAGCACAAACCCCCCAAATTTGCAGCATTAAGCTTCCATCCACACACAGCAATGGCCCATGCTAGTTAGAATCATTGGCAGGTCAGGTGGATGCACACCAGGCTGCCTGCATATCAATCAGGCATGCCCACTGACACCATTGGGAACAAAGTCGTGAAAATCAACAGGACGTGAAAATCGTGACTGTCCTACCAAAATTAGGACAGTTGGGAGGCATGTTGTATAACTAATTCCAAATATGGGGCAGTGAATTGGTGCTGTAACAAAATATTTAATTAAATATGATATTTCTCTCACAGTATTACAGTCAAAACGAAAGGGTGCCAAAATCATACCTGAGATTTTTCAGGACCCCACTTGGGGCTCCATCACAGGCAAGGCTCCCCACCCACCCAGCAGCTACCCTGACTGACTGTTCCAAATAAAAATAACATCAGTAAGAAAATGAAAATAAAATATCACTGATATCAAGCTAACACATGAAAATCTGAATAACTGATGATATATGGAAAAATCATTGGGATCTGGGATATAAGTTTTGTTAGCTTGAGCAGTATATGATCACAATGCATTATCCTGAAATAAAAATGTCTAATTGGGATTTATTCATTCTTACCTCTGCTATATATATATATGTTTTTCATTTCTAATAAATAACAATTTCATCTGACTCCCTGAGAATATGGTGACAGATGTGGGTGGAATTGGAGAGTAAATCCAATTGTCTCTTTACATATTTTGACAAGCTCACACATAAATAAGTAAATAAATAAATACATTTTCAGCTGCCTTCTGTGACCACATAAAACACACACACACACACACATATATATATATATATATATATATATATATATATATATATATATATAAATACATTGTTAAACACAGATCTGCACACCAGTCAAGCCATAAGACTTGCTTTTCCCACAGAAATCTCAAATTTGCAGTGATGTTACTACTGCAAAGGATTCTGGGTGAGCATATGCAAATGAGTTCAACAAAGAATCACCTTTTTGCCTCAATTCATTCCTCATTCCTTGGAGTTTATGCTTGTTGTATACAACAGCTTTGAAACGCAACTCAAGAAATTCAAAGTCAAAGAACCACTCATGGACAGCTGTTTCGTTGTTAATGCAACTCATCAGCATGAGGTTGGTTACTGGCTTGCTAGTGAACAGGGGTGGACTAAACGGTCGGGCAATTCGGACATGGTCCAGTGGCCCGGCCGAGGAAGGACTTAATTTCACCTGGTGTTGTCTTAGACAACATCGGGCTCTCGAGGCCCGGCAGCCGGCACTACTTATTCAGTCTGGGAGAAGGGGCCTGGGTGAAGAATGAGTGCTGTGCGCGGAGGCATGTCGTGTTGACGTCACGTACTTACGTCAACATGCACCACCTGCATGGGCTGCATTTCATTGTAAGGCAAACAGTGTGGGGAAGGATTCTACCACACACTGCCTTACAAAGACAAAGAAGCCTGGGCCGCACATTTTTCAGCCATCTTTAGCTGCAGCCAGCAAGTCAGCCAGCCAGCCAGCCACAGCCTGCCAGTCAGCCAGCAAGCCACAGCCTGCCAGCCAGCAGCCAGTCTAAATGCGTGACTTTGTGTCCTATGTATAGCCCGGTTTCTGAATAGATTTCTAGATAATGGTTTGTACTGGCCATGAATATATTTGTATAATGTTATATCCCCTCTGAGGTGCCGTTTTTCCAAACTAATGAGATTTAAATTTTTTAACCTTTCTTCATGCTCCATTCCTTTTATGAATTTTGTAGCTTGTCTCTGCACTTGTTCTAGTGCCATGATATCCTTCTTTAGAACAGGTGCCCAAAATTGCACAGCATATTCCAGGTGTGGTCTTACCAGCAATTTATAAAGAGGCAAAATTATATTTATAGAATTTATGTCCCTATTTATACATGACAAAACCTTACTGGCCTTAGCAACTGCAGATTGACATTGCATATTGCTGTCTAATTTGTTGTCCATAACAATTCCCAAATCCTTCTCGTGTGTGGTTATCCCTATTTCACTACCATTTAAGGTGCAAATTGATTGTGCATTCTTGACCCCGAAGTGCATAACTTTGCATTTCTATACATTAAATTTCATCTGCGATTTTAGTGCCCAGTCCCCCAATCTATCCAAATCCCTCTGCAGCAAAGCAATATCCTGCTCACATTTGATTACTTTACAAAGTTTTGTGTCATCTGCAAACACTGAAACATGGCTTTCATTGCCTATTTTAAGATCATTTATAAATATGTTAAATAGAAGCGGTCCCAAAACAGAACCCTGAGGGACACCACTTACCACTTTTGTCCAGCCTGAAAATTTACCATAAATGACAACTCGTTTTACTCCATCCTTAAGCCAATGTTCTACCCACGAACAAGAATATTTATCTAGACCAATTTCTTTTACATAGTTACATAGCTGAAAAGAGACTTGCGTCCATCAAGTTCAGCCTTCCTCACAAATGTTGTTGCTGTTGATCCAAAAGAAGGCAAAAAAACCTGGTCTGAAGCACTTCCAATTTTGCCACAAACTAGGAAAAAAATTCCTTCTTGACCCCAAAATAGCAGTCAGATGTCTCCTTGGATCAAGCAGCTATTACCCCACTAATTAGAAATTATATCCCTGTATGTAATGTTTTTGTAAGTATTTATCCAATTTCAGTTTAAACATCTGTATGGACTCTGACAAAACCACCTCTTCAGGCAGAGAATTCCATATCCTTATTGTTCTTACTGTAAAAAAACCTTTTATTTGCCTTAGATGAAATCTCCTTTCTTCCAGCCTAAATGTGTGACCTCGTGTCCTATGTATAGCCCTGTTTATGAATAGATTTCCAGATAAAGGTTTGTACTGGCCCCTAATATATTTGTATAAAGTTATCATATCCCCTCTCAGGCGCCGTTTTTCCAAACTAAACAGATTTAATTTTTTTAACCTTTCTTCATAACTAAAATGCTCCATTCCTTTTATCAATTTTGTAGCTCGTCTCTGGACTAACCACAATAGGTTAGTTTGAAGACTAACCTATTGTGAGGAACTGTATCAAATGCCTTGGCAAAATCCAAGTAGATCACATCCACTGCAACACCCTGATCTATACTTCCCAAATGCTCCTCTACTTGAATGTTGGTAAAAAGATCAACATTGTTTGTTATAACGAGATTCAGACAAGCGTCCTTTCTAGTTGGTGCTTGTACCAGTTGTGACATGAAGGTGTCATTTAACACATTCAAAAACCTGATTCCCCTTGCTGAAGTATTATTAGTCAATCTATCCCAATTTATGTCCGGGTAATTAAAATCTCCAATAATTAACGTGTTACCCCGATTTGCAGCTTTCCCAATTTGCTCTAACAGCTGTTCTTCCTCATTAATATTTACATTAGGTGATTTGTAACATATCCCAACCAATAGTTGATTTCCCTTCTTTTGCCCCAAGCAGAAATCTACCCATAAAGCTTCCACGTTTTCCTCGTCACACTCCACATACCTAAGATTTGACTTTAACTCATGGTTGACATGCAAACATACCCCACCACCCTTCTTGTTTTTACTATTCTTCCTAAATAACGTGTACCCATTTAAGTTAACTACCCAGTCATGTGTCTCATCCCACCATGTTTCTGTTATGCCTATTATATCATATTGTTTAGTTGCTATTGATATTGCCTCTAGTTCCCCCATTTTGTTATATAGGCTCCTTGCATTAGTAAGCATACATTTAATACTATCATGAGTCATTTGTACGTTTTGTGAATTATCAACATTAAATACCTCCTCTGTTCTGAGCTTGCCCCTTCCCCCATCTCCACCCCCCTTCTATCCTATCTCCATTTTCTAGATTGCTTTGACCCTCCCCCCTACTCAGTGGTGTATTTTGGATTTGTGCTGCCCTAGGCACGACTAAATTCGGGCACCCCCAAAATCTAAATTTGCCCCCGCAATTCGTGTCAAGGCCACTTTTTTGACTGAGACACATGCCCTTATTGATACATGCACTGATATACACTCACTGACAGATACAGCTATTGGCACACACTGTTTAACCAACACACACTTTCACTGACAGACACAAACTGACACACCCACTCACTGACAGGCACACACTCTCAGATACACATAAAATGACATACACACACTGACACACACTCACAGGCACACCCATTCTCACTGAAAGACACACACACTTTCACTCGCTCACAGACACACACTGACAGCTACACTAACTCACAGTAAGGTGGACAGCCCCAGAACATGAGGCAAACAAGGCATTTGTCTGGGAGCTTGGGGTGGCATTTTTTGGCGCCCCCCTGAAAGTGCCCCCCTAGGCAAATGCCTTGTTTGCCTTGTGGTAAATACATCCCTGCCCCTACTACTAGTTTAAAATCTCCTCCAACCTTATAGCCATCCTATCCCCCAGCACAGCAGACCCTCTACCGTTTAGGTGCAATCCATCATGACTATACAGGTTGTAACCAAGTGCAAAATCGTCCCAGTGCTCTAAAAACCCCAAACCCTCTTTCCTGCACCAAGACTTCAGCCACGCATTGACCTCTCTAATCTCCTGCTGCCTTTCTGCTGTTGCGTGCGGCACAGGTAATATTTCTGAAAATATTATTCCTTTTCTTTAGCTTACTTCCTTGTTCCCTAAACTCATTTTTTAGGACCTTCCATTTTCCTCTGACTTTGCCATTGGTACCAATATGGACCATGACAGCTGGGTCATTCCCAGCCCCTCCCAATAATCCCTCCACTCTGTCGGCAACATCCCGGAACCGAGCACCCAGGAGAAAGCAAACTGTCCGGTTGAGACGATCAGAGCGGCAGATAACCCTATCTAATCTCTTAATAATAGATCCCCTACCACCACAACCTGTCTAGCCTTCCTAGAAGGACTGTTAGAAGGAACAGCTTCCTGCAGTACAGCTACTCCTGAGCTGATGCTCCCAACATCTTCACTCAAACGGGTAAATCTGTTGGGCTGCACAAGATCAGGAATAGCTAAAACTTTCCTCTTCCTTCCCCCCCCTGTTTCCTCGCCCCACTGTTACCCAGCTATGTGCCTGCTCACCAACTGTCTCATCTCCTCCCACTCCACTACCTGCACCCATTAAACTCTGCTCAGTGAGCAGCAGACTCCTCTCAAGACTGTCAATCTCCCTCAGTGTTGCAATTTGCCTCTCCAGATCTCCAATCTGAGCTTCCAGAAAGGTCCCTCGCTCACACCCACCACAGAGGTGTGGACCCTGGACAGATTCATCCAGGCATACATGCAGCAGGATGTGCACTGAGTAAAACTCGCAATCTTGCTAGCACTCATCCCAAGTTACCAAAAACACAAGTGAGCAAAACAATATTTACCCTCTTGGTTTAAACTCGTTTTTTGTTTAAACTCCTGTTGTTCCAACTCCTACTTAAAAAAGACTACTTGAAATAGCCTACTTTCAAGCAAACTCCAATGAGCAAGCTCTGTGAGTCAGTAGTGGGTTTATATTGGCAATACAAATCCCACACAGGTGGGAAATTAAAGGGGACCCCCCATAATTAGCTCAGCAGCAGCACCCACAAGGGACGTATATATATTAATATAAAAATACACTTCTAATTAAATTACACACGTATATAAATAATATATATGATAAATATATTGTGTGTGTATATATATATATATATATAAAGTGCATTTTAATTATTTCTCCCACTGTAACATATAACCTAATTTGGAAGGGTTTAATGTTTCTTGTAAGCTTCTGTAACAAATAAATAATAATTTTGATTGCTTATTTTGTGAGAGAAGAGTTTTTTCAATCTCGTTAATAAAAACTGGATTCACACATTGTATTTGTAATTGAATAATTATATTGTTAAGCCATGAATATGTGAATTATTCATTTGAGGGTAAATTATAGCTCTACCCCTGTTTGATCAATTAATTCCACCACCTTTCTTAAACCAACATTCCTAAGTACTAAGTACTTCCCCACACTTCCCTAATAAAACTTTGGTATCCATTTCCTCCATATTGCCACTAAGTATTTTATTATAGAGAGACCTCCTATTTTCCTCATAGAGGGCTTTATTGATGGCCACAACAGATGTGTAAATTCATACATTTTGGAATATTTTCTTTCCAAAAATGCCCATAAAGGACGCAAGGGGTTACATACTAGCCTGACTAATTGAGCTACAGATTAAGCTATATAATATTTATGTATATCTGGGGCACCCAGACCTCCTTTATTTTTAAATAACCAACATGTTTCATGGGATATCCTGGTTGGCCGTTTTCTCCATACACAACTTTTAACCAGCATCTTGTACAGTCCTATAATTGCCAAAGGAATGGTTGAAACAAAAACAGTATTTTAGGGGGAATATTGTTTAATCTTGTAGACCAATGGCTCTAACACTAAAATAAATATAAGAGGAGATAGCGGACATCCCTGTTGAGTGCTGTTGTGGAGGCTAAAATGTTGTGATTGGAAACCTGAATTCATAACATGAACCCGAAAAAGCTGAATAAAGAATACTTATTGCCTTTAAAATTTGAGGTGGAAAATCAAATCTTTTTATTGTAGCATACATGTAATCCAAATCTAACCATTCAAATGCCTTTTCAGCATCCAATACTAAGAATAATGTGGGTATCTGATGTTTATTTGCTATTTCAATTAAATAAATATATCTCCTGGTATTATTGTATAGCTGTCTTCCTTGTACAAACTCTGCTTGTTCCATTGCTATAATGCCAGGGAGTATCGGACTTATTTATCGGAGTATAGTCTATTTGCAAATGCTTTCGCATAGACTTTTAAATCTCCATTAAGTAAAGCGTTTGGACTAAAGTTGGAGCTGTAGTGTGGCAGTTTCTTTGGTTTGGGCAAGGTGATGATAGTTGCTTCCATCATTTCCCTTGGTATTATTCCAACATCTTTAAAGAGATATTAGTACCCCTTTTAGTGAAAGTATTCAATTATATTAAACTTTTGATAATACAAATTGGAAAAGCCATAAGGTCCTGGAGTTTTGTTTTTTGGAAAGTTTTGTAATTTATCATTTCTATTTCTTCTTTTAAAGTTTGCATCTGCGCCTCTGAAAGTTGAGGAAGAGAAACATCTTCCAGAAACACAGATATAGACTTCTTCGTAGCAGTGCTACTAAATTTCAATTAAGTTTTAGTCATAGTCTTTGGACTGAAAAGCCATCTTAGTTCTAGTTATATTTAGTCATCTGAATTATTTTGTTTTAGTCTAGTTTTAGTCGGCTAAATCTCAAACATTTTAGTAGACTAAAATCTGACTAAAATTGTTAGTCGACAAAATTAACAGTGCTTTGTAGGCTGGATTATATTTGGATCTAAATTATACAGAGATTCATAGTATGAAGTTAGCTAATTTATAATATGTATTGGATTTGTAAGTTTAATATTATCTGCATCAAAAAGGAATGGAATCTTTATAGCTGCTTCTCTCTTTTTTAACTTATGCATCAATCATTTGCCAGCCTTATTTCCATGACAATAATTGTGACTAGAGCAATCTCGCCACATTGCATTGGAGAAGCCTGGTTGCTCGCCTGTTGCCTTTGGATTATGGCCCCATGTTAAAAGGCTTGATTTTCCCCTGCAAAGACAAGAAAGCCGGGTCATTTGGTGCTTGCCCTGTTTAAGCAGTGATACCCCAGATAGCTATGCCATGGAGCCCATTCGTATAATGAAAGACTATGGGAAAGACTTTGGCTCCATGGCAATTGAATTGTATGTGTGTGCTCTGAGCGCCATTCAGTAATAATGTGCGCTCAGATCTGAGCTATCTGGGGATATGTTGAATGTACCTGTTTTGTGCAATGGCTGCACAGTTATATGTTTTTATGTGTTTTATTGTCTTTTGCTGCCATGTGTTCAATGGAGTTTTGCCTCTGTCCTTTGAGATAATTGGATTACTTCCCAATTATCTCCAGGATAGAAGACTCTGTGGAACTGGTTTTGGGCAGAAAAGCCATGCTTCCTTTGGTCACAAAGGACTACGATCTATCTTTTGAACCACTGGACCAATTTGTATGATTTTGATGTATGTTTGTATTTGGAGTATGCTGATTCTGAAAATGTGAATGTGATGCATACTTTTCAAGTTATGAATAATGTGGAAAAATTGTATTTCTCTGCTTGTTATAATTACATTACCCATTGTGTAAGGTAATTGAATCACAGGCAGAGGGGAGGATTTTTTGTGGGAGTGTCTGAGTGTATTGTATGTGTTTATTGGTTGTGTTCCAAAACCCTGTGGGTGGTACTAATGTGTAAGAATGTGTTCATAAGAACAATAAACCCACAGCTCTGACTGTTCACTGCTTGACCCACAACACGGAGCTTTGTCTCGTTCTTGGGGGGATTTATTGTATGCTGTTCCAGTTCGACTGCTAGGAGTGTAAACCTATTCGTATGGTTTTACCTATTCGGCTGTTTACAGCATTCATATGGTTTCCTGTTCGGCGGATTGGTGTTCTGCAGTAGCTGTGCCTGTGTCTCTGGAAGGGAAAATCTACTAAACGGCAGTTTAACCCTTTTATGCTGAGGGTGCCGTTACAATAATATAATAAGTTCTGCCTTAATTGCTATTATTTAAATGCTTCTCTGTTTGTAAGGGGACTTTTAAAATAATTAACTGGGGGGGGGGACATAGTGTCCTCCCCCAGCACCCCCCAATCCTCCCTGTGCCCCGCGAGTGGGTTATTCAACTAAACTGGGGACCTATAGTGGCGGGTGGGGCCCTAAGTGACAATAGGGGGAGCCTACTGACTACTGGCTCAATATTTACCTTTCAGAACGCTCTGAGTCAAATTGCAGGGCGTGGGAAGGCTTTAAAAGCTCAGTCTGTGCGGAGCCCTTGCTGGGTGAAGATGGATTTATTTATTTTTTGCCATCTGGTCTTTTTTTATGTTCTAAGTTCGAAGTGATTCAAGGCTTTTTATTTGTACTTTTTTGGGGCTGAAAAAAAATAAGGTTTTAGAAAAAAGAAGACATCTGATAGTAAGTTTGATTCTTTTTAATATACAGGTTTTTAGTCTATTACTCCTCCCTCACTATTTTTAGAATGAAGGGTGTAGGCAGGGTTTTCTTTTATTAGGGGGGTGACTAGGGGCTTGGGGACCCCTAGTTATCTGGGGTGGGTTATTTTTCCCCCTTTTGTCAAATAGGGCCCCCAACCGCTGCTCATTAGTGGGGGCTGGGAGGGAGGCAGTAGGCACCCACTTTGTTACTTAAGGGCCCCGCCCACCGCTCATGGGTGGGGGCCGCGGCAGACAGCAGCTTTCCCCCTTTTGTCACTTAGGGCCCCCACCCATGAGCTTCAGGAAGGAGGCAGTAAATCTCCCCCTTTGTCACTCTGGGCCACCACCAGCTGTTCATGGGTGGGGGAGGCAGTAGGTTCCCCCTCCCTTTTGTCACATAGGGCCCCCACCAGCCACTAATGGGGGGGCCGGTGGGGACCCTAGGTCTTACGATTAGTTTAATACACCCGCTGCTCACTGTTTAGTACACATGTCCCTACTCACGGCATAGCGAGTAGGGACAGGAGGGAGTTTTCAATCTCCCTTATTTACTAATACTAACTAATGAAGCAACGCAAGCACACAGAGGAAGTGTGAGTATTGTGGGGAAATTTGTTTGACAACAGGAAATGGAGCTGTCTTAAGCTCCTCCTTTGGTCACATAAGGTCAAGTCTAGGAAAAATACATAAGACAAAGTAGACCCTATTTTGTCTTATGTTTTAAAGAAAACTAGATCAGGTAGTAATAAAAGAAGAACAGGTTCTGAGAGAGGAAGAGAAAAGGAAACAATCGGAGAAAGGTAAGTTTGGCATGACAGTGCCAATTTAACAATGTGTTGACTATCCACTGGCTTCAAGTTGAAGGGGTTTTCAATCACTTTTTCCCCACCGTAACTTCCTTGGTTTGTGTTCCACAAGCAACGCCAAGTCTCAGTGGGCGTTACTGGATTTTAGAGAGAAAACTTTTTCATAAAGGCACAGTGTAGACATGAGAGGGGTATGATGGGATTTCCAGGAGAGTGACATAAACACAAAAACTTGGAGAGGACTGGAAGAGATACAGTGGACCAATTTGGCCCTCCATTCATGTAGTCATCTGTAATTCAGCTCTTTCATATAGTTCTTTTAGTATTTAGTTATCTTTTATATATGAAAATTGGGTTTTGTTTGAAATTTCCTTCAGGGGCCAAGTTCATAACTGAAAGTTGAAGGATAATGACCATCAAACAGATGTCAACAAATTAATATTAAGGGTTTATTCATCTTATAATCTAATGGTAGAATCGACTGGCGGGACTTCAGAAGAAATCATTATTCTTTCTAACAATAAAATATTGACACTACTAAAACATCTCAGAAGATGAAATGGAAAATCCCAGCATAAACAAAATTTCCAGATTCAATTATTTGACCATTAAACATATCAAGCTTGAAATAATACTGCACATATTGAAAGGAAAAAGCATTTAGAAACTGACATTTGAAACTCGCTACTCAAATTAAAATTAATAGAGTGGTTTAAAAAGGATTTGAATATAATCCAATGTAATTTGAATGCAATTAGAGGATACTGATGTAGGATCCTGCAATTACCAATAAGAAATATTTCAATTTCATGATAGCATACATTAGATATAAAATACAGCTTTTTTTTTTTTTATAGAAACTAATGATTGTGGTTTGGATTTTACACACATAACAGCATTTGCTATAACTGAGAAACAATATTATTAACTAGGATATCAACTACTTAACCTCTACTTGGTAGAGGTTAACACAGTAAAGGAGTTTAAGCATGCGTGGGATAGGCATAAGGATATCCTAACTATAAGATAAGGCCAGGGACTAATGAAAGTATTGTCAAATGGTTCTTATCTGCCGTCACATTCTATGTTTCTATGCTGCAAAACGTGCAACACTGACATTCAGTGTCTCCACCCTCTGCATGGAGACACTGAACTTATCTCATAAAGATGGCTTGGTTCAATGTTTCTCTCTGAGGAGATGCTGATTTGGCTCGGCCCCCAGCCCTCCTTCTTGGCTAAAATCATTAGAATTGATCATCACAGCCAATACAATGCTTTCCTATGATTGGCTGAGATAATCACTTCTGATGTCAGCCAAGGAGGCAGATCAGGGACAGAGCCACCACCAGCAGACTGGAATAAAATTAAGATTTTACTATATTTAGGGTGGAAAGGGTCAGGAATACATGTTTTTATTCCTGACCCTACAGTGTTCCTTTAATCTATACACTGCACTGCCAGAATAGCCTGCAAATGTAAAGATTACACCACGGTGGCCATAAGATAGAGAGATCCCCAACAGTTCTTGAGTTAAACCACCCATGATGCTTTGCTAAATTTAAGACTGGTGTATTATCATGAGAATTGTAGGTCTAGGGAATGCTGACACAACCAGAGAAAGTCAAGAAAACAATTAGGAAAATAACATTTGATCAATAATGTACATGCAATTTGGTTTCCACGTGTACAGATATATTGTGACTCCTTATAAACTGACATGGCTGCTGCTTGATGCTCTAGTTTTACCGGTGTCAAACATTACAGCTAATTCACGAAGACTTTTGAAAATGACATTGGCTAGTTTTCTTTAACGTAGATTGCTTTAAGCCAATATAATGGTGTCCTGCTATTAATAATAAACACAATGACATTTCAACGTAAGTTAAATACTTTGCATTTCTAAAAATATTTTGAGTTCTGTCACAAATCAACCAAAATATAAAATACATAAATATAGAATAACTCGTGATATTCTATGATATAGAATAACTCAAAAATATATATTTTTTAAACAGTCAGTGAGTAAGAAAACGAACACGATGTCAATGTGTCATATCATAACTGTAACTAATAATAGTACATTTATATAAAATGTTTGAGAGTTGGGAACCTATCGAAGACATTTAGCATTATTCACCAACTTGTACATAGTCAGGAATTTAAAGTGAATGTGTAAAATGTATTATTCTTGAGAAATCTACACTTTAATGGATAATTCTGATAGAAGTCTTTCCAATAAATGAAGTTTTGACAAACAGAGCTGTCATAATGTTGGCTACAATAGTAAAGGTGAAAAAAGAAAAAGAAAATCCAAACTCAGGGGAATAAAAATATGTTTGCTCAGTAGTGAAATTCAATTGGTTTTGTTTCTAACTGGAATCATTGTGGAAAATTGGCATGTAGTCGTTCCAATGCACTTTTCTTTATTTTAATCATAGATAAACTATACAGGTAAACATCAACAATTCTATACAAACAGTCTACAAACAGTTAACATATAAACAGCAAATAAAAAGAGAGAGGTACTTCCCAAAAAGTTCAGAACAAACAAAACAGGTATGCAAGATATGGCAGTGCCGAATCAACATTAAATCATTTGGCTTCAACAAAAGATTTAGCAAGGCTCTGTGTCAAGTAGGGTCAAGCGTAGGAAAAATACTGAGCCAAGATTCTGGCTTTCTTAGGTGATGACCCGCTAACCATTCAGTTATTGCTTATTAGCTTTATTTTAGCCATCATATTTTTTTGTGTATTTTAAAAAAAACAGCATCCGTTTCTGTTTAACAGGTTTCAGGTATGGTGATACCTGCGGCTCTTCCCCTGAAATATATCTGCGTGATAAATGGAGTTGTAGACTGAAGAACAGCTGTAACATCTGGAGCTAAAGGATACGGGATGACAACTTCATCTATCAAGCATATAAACAGCTCTGTAACAATATTATGTATTAATTACTGGAATGGTTCATTATTTTCAGTGGCAAGAGGTTTAGAAAACACACAACTGAAGGTTAAAAATGAAAAAAAAATATGGTAGCTTGTAAAGCAGTACAAACAATTTATGCACCTGCTAAGATGTAATAAAATTCTGTTTTCCATGGGACAATCTGTTCAGGTACGGATCAACCAGAGAAAAGGTTACCTTATCACCCGAGTATTCCCATATATGTCAATGGCAACACTGCTAATCATTTATCAAAGTTGTACATAAATTATACCCACTTTGCAGCACTTCGAGGTACTGGCACCTCCTTCATCCAACTGGTATCCCAAGAACAGGCCAATCAAAGTAAATGAAAAGATGGAGTATTTTGTGAAAATATGATCATATCCTTTAGCTTTCATTTGGCTATTGAATGTACAGGATTCTAAAGGGTGACAGAACCACTTTTAAAAAGAAAAACTATATCCCTTAACAAAGAATCGGATTGGTTATACTATTTACGTATTGAAGGAACAGTAAAGCATTTGAAATACAAACCTGTATCTAGTTAAATTTAGGTGTCCCTTCTTTTGCCATAAAAATAATAAAGATAAGCTTTTTACTTGCCACGAGACTCCATTGGCAGTGCTTACCTCAAGGGACATCATGGAGAAGGCATGACATTGTCAGAGAGGAACACTGGGGATATTGATGCATATGAATCGCAAGCGAAAGCAGTTACTGCGTCATTTGACATACTTTGACTTGATCAGTGCAGCGGACGTGCATCTCGTGGCTGTCAGCCACTAGAGGTGGATTTAACCCTGCAATGTAAACACTGCAGTCTCTGAAAAAACCAACAACATTGCAGGGTTAAAAGGTCAGGACCACAAGCTGTGGTGGTTATGGTGCTTGGCACATTCCTTTAAAGTTACACCAGGCACTCACAGCACAGATGCTATGCGTAGGAAATTTTAGATTTATTTTTTAATCTCTTTGAGTTCTGTTAGTCCCCATTTGTGTCTAGGATTTGTAGTTTACCTGTTAGTTTGCTAGAGAGAAAAGCTGATAATTAACTACCACTACCCGAAGACCCAGCTGTACCATAATGCACGGCAATGCAGCTATTTACAGGGTAAACTCAGCACTGCTATAGATTTGCTAAATCACTTCCTGTTCTGGCCAAAGCTTACTGCACAATTTGTAGAAAATCTAGTTATCTCAAATGTGAAGATATGTTTATAAAATGTGTTTATTCTTTTTTTAGTTATTATTTTTGTATAAATTCTAAAAAAAATGGTCAGCTCCTACCTGGAATATCTGTTTAAGGGCCTCTTAATAGGAATGTGCAAATACATGTGTTTTGTTGCCTAGGTAGATGCAAATATGTGTGTTTGCTGGAGCAATAATCAATATGTGCGTATTTAAAGGGACCCCTATTGTCTGACCGACCAGCCCTGTGAAGTATAGATTGTTTTCTATGTTCTAAATTAATTTTGTATCAAGTCTGTTTTTGTGCGAAAGCTGATGTTTATGTGAAATTTAAATTAGCATATTTTCTATAAATATGCTGTGCACACATTCTAAATAGAGAAAAGCATATAAAACAATCCGTTTGAGAAAAAAAAAAAATCACAATGCATAATTAACCAAAGATGACCATATTGTTCTGTCACTTAAAGTCACTTTGAAACCTATAGTTGGTATTTTGTCAAATGTGCAAAATATAACTTGAAAATAGACTGATACATTTTAAGTATTTTTTTATTTTTACAGCACCATGCAATGAGTTGCCAAAAAATAAATTAGATGAACTATGATGCTTGCATTCAATTCATAAAAAGTCATTATGTAGAAGTGAGGATTAGTGGGGAGAGGATTGTAAGTGTGAGTGGCTTTATAATTCCATGAAGAGTCTATAATGATAATGCTGGGTATGAGGAGAGGCTTGTTAGCCCTAATAATCCCATCATAACAAACTAGCCTTTAACCCCTTAAGGACCAAACTTCTGGAATAAAAGGGAATCATGACATGTCACACATGTCATGTGTCCTTAAGGGGTTAAAGATACCACTATTTAATAAATGCAGGGCTGTATAGAACGGTGAATGCTGGGGTACATCTGTGGACACAAAGGTCTGTCCCCGTTCAGCACATCGAGAGCCTATCATTAGAAGTGCTTGCTGTGTGCAAAAGGCACTAGGACCTGCATGATCCGGAGAGCTAGGGGCCAGCCAGGCTGCCTGTCAGGTGGAGGTCCTACCCCTTTTTCAGGCTGACCTGACCCCTTTTCAGATGAGACCGCCCATTTTGGGTGTCCCCTCAGGACCTGGCCCACACATCCCGATAAGTGGAGGAGAGAAGCTTTATGTGTGTGGAGTGGTCCTTTAAAGGACTAGTTTGTGATCTTTAAGCAGTTATGAATGAGGTATTTTGTCACAAGGAGTATACCCAAACTCACACAATATGGGAAATAAAAAAGACATATTGCAGACATATTGCCAGGCCTTGGAGTGGCTGGACTTAAAGGGACACTCCACTGCCCAAATACAAAATCAATAAAAATAACATTTTTTTTACAGATAAAGCCCAAATGTAAACTTGCATACATTTAATTATGTATTTTTTAAATTGGGAGTATACATACAAACAGCTTGCAAAGCTTGCAGTTCTCTTATCCAGTGCTACTCAACCCTCTCCTCAAGGTACACCTAACAGTCCAGGATTTAAGGATTGTCCGGGTGTGTCTAAGGTGGTTAAAAAAAACTAAAAGCACATCAGACCCAAAGCAGTTTTGTTTCCTTTTTAGACACATTTGGGTAATCCCTAAATCCTGGACTGTTAGGTGTGCTTGTCTGCTGTCTTTGCAAACACTTTAACACCACCCAGACTTTCTTTAATGGTCCAATCACAACGATTCCAATGCACCTCGGTGAGAAGTCTTTGCAAGGCATTTGCCGGGAGCTCTGAGTAATTGCTGCCTATTGAGTTTACCTTCCCTGATCCAACGAAACCAGGAAGTAGCATTACCTGTTGTCTGCTTGAAAGTTTATGGGGTGTTACCAGATTAATTTATAAAATGTGTCAATTGTGTACTGAAATCTACACCTTTTTGCAGAAGAATAAGAGCAAACACATAAGCTTTTCAGCAGGCTAAAGTGCTTTGGGGGTCTGGAGTGACGCCTTAATGTAATAAACAGATAAAGACAAAGTCAGAAACTAGCCACAGTCAGGATTATAGATAGCCGGAAAAACAACACTACAGGTACACGTATATCAAATAACTAGCCGAGGTCAATACAAGAAATACTAATTGGGCACCAAGGTCGAAACCATGTTAGGGCACCCTTAAGCTTAGGGCGCTAAAGAAACTTCTGTTTTCTGTCAAACATTCAGAAATCGTTTCCTAGCAACATAACTGATACAAGTTGCAGCCATTGCCGGAGACCACAACCACTTAAAAACAAAAGTGGATATGGTCCTTAAAGGAACACTTGAAACACCATAACCACTATAGTACTGGATTCCACTAATAGCCCGCCCAATCATGTTTATGATTTTACCTACAGAAAACTGCATAGTTTAATGTATGCACCCTAGACAGTACCTATTTTCTTTAAGTTGCTACATTGATCAGTTTCACCCATGTGTCATCCAACACTTAGGGTCACCAAGCCTTTCCCCCCATCTTTCTTTTTGAGTGCAGAGTGATGATGGGATCAATAAACTAGGAAAAGAATGTACAAACTGTCCCCGGTTTTGGCAAGAGAAATAAAGTCTGATAACAGACAATAGGATGCGTTGTAGTCCAGCAACAGTTGACATGGTAACAGTTGCATGCCTGAGATAGAAACTTTTTAATACAGCAATGTGTAGGTCAAAGGCCGCTTTTCCCTTCCACGTGTAAAGCCTACTCCTGTGTGTATGCATCATCAGACTACACGGTTATAATGTCACAGCAGCCTCCACAGTCAGCTATATGTATCATGAACAACGCGCTTTGCCTCATTAACATTTTAATAGAATCTGATTCAGTCAAGTAAGGTAATGGGACATTTGTGTCTTTCCGTTTATTGTTCTCACAAAAACATATAAAAATGCTAAATTGCTATACATGGAAAAAAAATTAAATAAAGCTTTAACTAATGTTCACGGCTTGCAGTCACACTAATTGATTATGAAAAAAAAAATGTATATAGATGGTAATTCTAATTCTCATGTGAAATCCAGTCTCTTAGGCAACCGACCTAAGCATGCTTTGCGAAAGGATGGCGAAGATATTTCCTTAGTACCAAACAAAAATATATGTCAGCTTTAAATGGGCTACAGGTGCCTCTATACACACTAATTGAAAATGTACAAATATTATTAGCCTGCATGTCTTGTGTAATTAGAGACACACACTGTCCCAATGTAAGTTAGGGAACTTGTCTTATTAAAACTTATATATAAAAGATTTTTTTAGGACAAACCGTCCCAAATAAGCAAACATTTGTAATAAATAAAAAATATCTACACTTTTCTTCCTCTGATAATACTATGTAAAAATAATTTTATGAATTCTATACTTAAAGGACATTTCTAATCTACTTTCTCGCAATGAAGTTGTTATGCTGCCAGAAGGTCCCCGGCGCCGACTTACCCACCAATTTCAAATGGCTTAACCCAAAAGTCTTTTGTCCGTCGCTGGTCATCTCTGCCACTTCAACATCTGTTTAAGTCCGAGACTTGAAAGGGGAAACCTTGGACTGGGTGCCTCTGATAGGCTGAGAGGATCAGTGTGCCCAGTCTGAGGAGTATTGTTTAAAGCCTCGTAGAGGGGGCAGATATGACCATTCCTGGACAGAGGTCTTTGGGGTTAAATTGTTAATTAAACCTTTAACCCCGAAGGAATGCTGAAGTTGTTATGGTGGCCACAGTGTTCCTTTAAACTATTTAAAGAAGAGACCTGATTGGTGAACTTGCTAATAACTCCTGCTGTCTTTTCTGGTGCACCGGCAATCCCTCTGTAGCCGCAGCCACACTAATATCACCCATCACTGCTTCACTTGCCAAACAGGGAGATGGGAGTCACATGGCTCCCGCTAATTAATGCAAGGCACGTTATTGGCCAAGCTAACTGTCTCCGGTCCAGGATGCTTGTTCCTGAATCTCATTCTTTATCTAATTACTCTGGATTCTTCATGACTTTGCAATATGTCTGCACCTTCTCCTGAGAGGCTGAGACTGACTAATGTCTGAACATCCAGTTGCTGACCTGGGCTCTTCCTGCATGCCTTAATATCACTAGGGACAGGTACACTATAGAGTTAGGAACACAGGTTTAGATTCCTAAAATGGTAGTGTTCCTTTAACTTTCTTCTTTATTCATATCATTTTCTGTAACTGGCTAATAAAAAATCAAAACATAAAAAACTCATACGAAAGTTAGGAATAAAACCTTACTTCCACAATATTTTATTGATAAAATAATTCAGCATTAGCTAAAACATTGTGTATTTTTTTACATGACTCATGATCAGTTAGTACTGTTCCCATAGTTACAGTGATCCGCCTAACTTAATCGAAGCCTAAATGCATCATTCACAGTCAGTTTGAGCTAGGAGCACAGCATATACTTTATTGCCAGAGAGATAGACTTTAAATTCACACTCTGCCCACCTCCATGTAATTTGCTTTAGTAAAATGTACTCTTTAAATGGTTTATGAATAAAATAGTAGATCGTAAAATAAAAAGGAAATTCTATCAGCTTAAATTCAATCGGGGTGTGGTCTAATGAGTAACGAGTCTTTATATTTAACATTAAAATCAGTGTAACTGTGTAGCAATCAAAAATGTTTCACCAGTAAAAAAAAGGGTAAAGCTAAATAAAACGATCAATGTAATATAGTCTGTGTGAATGACGATAAAATAACTCAACCATTCAAATATACGTGTAAGCTTTTTAGTTATTGTTACAATTTTACTTTAGTAATCCGGGCAAAAGTGTGTTTGTAACAATATCTGTGTCCTTATTATTTCCTATATTAAACATCCTATTAAAATGGTAAGTAATACTGTAATGTAATAGTCTGTTTAGAAGGGAGTTATATATTCTTAATAAAAAAAATTAAAAATACAACATGTTGAAATCACGATTACGATTATTGGCTTGCTATGATTGATGTTAAAGCTGCTCTGCACTGTCTCGGGTCTTTGCATATTTTGCAAAGACCACCCGACAGTAACATCACCACCTGTAGTGTGGTGGCCCGGGGGTGCAGGGAAAGTTTAGTATTACTAACCTGAAGCTGTCCCTCGTGGTGGCCACAATCTTCATCTAGTGGATATTCTTCAGTTCCAGGTGCTTCTTCTGCCAGTGCTGTAGTCTCACGCATGCAAGACTACGGGAGCCTCCATAGACAATTCTTAACCTAACGTCTTTTTCAAGCAATTTGTTCTGTCAGGCACAGGAAATATAAGATAAAGTAGTCTCTACTTCGTCTAGGTATATCGTTTGACAATATTGTTAGATGAAATACAATGCCATACCCCTCAACATTGGTGTCCCGAGGAGCAGGATACCGGTGGGAGGAGGGCAAAGGGGGGACACCAGTGATGCAATAGCAATAGCATCCCTTGCTTTACACCAAGAAGGTGAACTTGCCTGAGAAGGGTGCAGGTCCAACACAAAATACTTGCAGGTCAGCCTGGAGTGAATGTACACCAGGCTACCTGTCAATCAAGCAGGCCAGCCAACTGAGGGAAGGAGCACGCCTAATGCTCATGCTGCACTTTTTTGGGACAGTTTTCTGGTAATCCTTAAAGCGAGACACCAAGGAACAAAGTCGGGAATGTCAGGACAGGACCAGAAAATCGGGACTGTCAGCCCAAATGTTTGAGAAGTGTGCAATACCTGTCTGCTTGCTCTAATCTGTCTGACTATGCCTTTGCTTGGATTTGACACCTGGACATGTCCTCTTTTCCCTATGCCCCATTAAAGACCCCAATATCACCACTGACCCCCTGTACCTATACTCAACACCATGTCCTCCTATTGGTCATGCTTGTGAGAGTGTGCAACAAAGATTTCAATGCCCTCCAGAGCCATGACACCTACAAATATTTATATATTTATATTTAACACAAATATTTATATATTTATTTGAAACAATGTTTCACATTTTCCTTGTCATTAGCATTTTTTTGGAGGAGGCTATGCCTGGTCTGAACTAGATTTAAAAGAAAATGACGCATAAAGAAAAATGTTAACACAAGTTCTAGGTGATTAGCAATGTTTTAGTCAACGAGGTAAATTCCAGAGAAACCACATTGCCCCTTTTAAAGTTATTTAGATATACCTTTTTTGAAATTAAATAGAAAAACAGAGATATACTTCATCTGGTGAATGTCCCTTGGAAAACATTAGACAAAACTTAAAAATGAATAACAGTATTACTTGTCCATAAACTAAAAATGTAATTGTTCCAAGCAATCAATTAAATAGCTCTCTAATTGGTGGACTCAGCGTAAGGAAACAAATCTTCCATCTGGTCGACAAGTCTACGGAAAGTACCAGCATCTGCCCTTTTTGTGTTATTTGACAATTCATTAGCTTTGATTAATTAATATGATACATTTTACCAAGTTAAACATTAAAATACTAAATTTTAACATCTTCTCCAAATCTTACCATCTATAAAAACCTCAATGAAATCTCTGGCATCAATACAGCCTTCATGATCAATCACTTCTAATCAATTCACTTCTGCCTAATAGTTTATTATGATATCCCCAGAAGCCTTAAGATAGATAGGTAGATAGACAGACAGACAGCATGACAGCCAGACAGCACGACAGCCAGCCAGCCAGCCAGACAGACAGATAGACATCACGATAGATAGATAGATAGATAGATATACAGACAGACAGATATATAGATATAGTATAAACCAAAACAGAGAAGATTCGGGATATGGCTGTATAAATCTACAGAGAAAGCATAAAACAAAACATAGTGTGATATTGTTATAAAACACAATATTTCATGCGCAGTAATCTTGTGCACTCACAGGATGTAGGCAGTAAAAGCGCTCTTAAGGTGCCTTCCCCAATGGAATGGGGGGCTAGCTGGTATTCCTTATCACCTCTGGATCCTTGTATCACCAAAAGACATCCACAGGTCAGGGTTCAGTAATAAAAAATTTATTTAGATAAAAAGTGTAGTCACCAATTCAGCATAGGATACAAATAACAGAAGGTTGTCCTACGCGTTTCGTTCTATAAGAACTTCCTCAGGGACCACAATTAAAAACAATAATAACAATGTATCAATGTACAATACATAAACATATCCTATACACATCCCCCCCTCCCTGTGTCCTTAAATAGGGCTAATCCCTAAAGTCTATTGGTGGATCCAGTAGGCGTGTAAATCCTCCTTGGTTCTAATTGGAGGACTGATCTTCCTGTGGCAGCTGTTTGTCATCCATTCATTTTCCATAATTTGTAATTTGCGCCTTTTTCGGCAAATACCGGAAGTGGTCATAATTTGCCGAAACCGGAAGTGACGTCGCGGGAACGTCCGCGTTCCACATGCGTTCCACCAGTAACGTCTCCATGGCAACCGGGCGCGATCAAGTCATTCAAAAGGTCAAATGGAACACAGGACAAATAAAAAGCCCCATTCTGCTTGAGAAAAAAAACTGTTAACCATTTTTAACATATTTAGCCGTTATTTATGTATATATATCTGTTGAGTATCACCCTCCTCATTAATCCCATCACACAACATAATGTTAATCCTCATATTGTACCAAGTAATCATAATATCTCAGTATATTATAAGCCTAAGGCTTCGTATTACAAAGTGATCATATTTCCTATGTCTATTATTTAAAAGGTTTTTATTTATTTTTTTTTTTATTTTTTTTTTATATAACTTTATACATTGTTAATCAAAGTGAACACCGTAATCAATTCATCACTGTATCAGTTTAAACTTCAATTTGTCGTGTTATATATTTGTACTCCCCATAAAAATCTTTGGGATAAACCTATTATACACATTGAAATAATCCATTGCTATGGTTACACAAAAAAGGGGTTAGTAGATTGTGGCTACAAAATAACTACTTCCCATATAAACTTTATTTAGTGAATCTACCACATTCAATTTATACCAGCTCTAAAAAACCTTAGAGCAAATCCATTATTTATATTAGAATAATCAGTTATTGTGTTTTTATTATAGTCATTTGTGATTTTTGGTCATATAGGACAATAGATCACAAATTGTAAAAAAAGAGATAAAATAAAATATAAGAGATATAAAATAACTACCTGGTATTTGATATATATATAAATCCTCTCTCTAAGTAGGGATTAGCTTTCAACTGTAGAAACAACCCAAATTAAAGGCAAACACACATATCCTAACTCTTTGTTCTGAAGATTTTAGGCCATATTAATCTAGAAAACAAATTAAATCAATATCGATATTGAGACCCTTAGGTGAGAGGGTTTGTAATTTATGTATCCAGAACGTCTCCCTCTGGGCTAGTCTTTGAACTCTATTACCCCCACGCCAGAAGGGGGGATACTTAAACGGTTGATGAAAAGAGACGACGTGATTATCAGAGAAGCAGATAAGGGGGGGGGGATAGTGCTAATGACCACTACATATTATCTCCAAGAAGCAGCTCATATCCTGGGGGATAGAAAGACTTATAGTGTACTCAAACACGATCCGACTAGCCAATTTAATACAGAGCTCCAAGTAATTTTGAATGGAGCTAAAGAGAGAAACATCATCTCACAGAGAAATTATGAATTTTTATATCAGAAAAACCCAACCATCCCTATTTTTTATTTTCTTCCAAAAACACATAAGCGTCTCCCTAACCCCCCTGGGCGACCCATAATCAGCGGCATCAATTCACTAACGGCTAATTTGTCGGCTTATGTCGATTCTCGGTTACAAAAATATGCCCAAGGGGCCCCTTCATATGTGAAGGATACGAAGTCTTTCCTCCAAGAAATGGAGAACATCGAATGGGACCCAGAGTACAGTTGGGCCACACTTGATGTGACCTCTCTGTACACAGTGATTAGCCATAGACTGGGTTTGGAGGCAGTTGATTATTTCATGGAGCAGGATGTGGAGTTACCAGGGGATATGAGGGACTTCATTTTTTCTTCTGTTCAATTTATTTTACATCACAATTATTTTTTCTTTAATGGTGATTATTTTTTACAAGTCACGGGGACCGCCATGGGGACCAAGTTCGCCCCCAGTTATGCCAATACATACATGAGAAGATGGGAAGAGTTATTTGTGTGGTCTGGACATGGCTGGAGGGCGAACTTGGTCCTGTGGCGGCGTTATATCGATGATGTTATTATTATTTGGAAGGGATCTTCTGTTTCGTTTCAGGATTATGTTAATTTTTTGAATGACAATGAGTACAACCTTGTCTTTACTCCTATCTGGAATAAGGATGAGATTAATTTCCTTGATCTTTGTCTATCTCATGATTCGAGTCATATAAAAAGTAAATGTTTCTTTAAACCTACTGATGGTAATGGGTTTGTTCATCGTAGGAGTGGTCACTATGAACCCTGGCTTAGGGGGATAGCCAAAAGCCAGTTTACCCGCCTTAGACGAAATTGTTCTGATAAACAGGATTTTTTCGCCCAATCATTACATGTTAAAAGGAAGCTTACAGATAGAGGATATAATGGAAAGAGATTGGAGAGAGAAATCCGTCGTATTGGCGATATAGAAAGGAAAACTTTTTTGGAGAATAAATCATATACTTCGGGAACTGGGGATAGTTTCCGTTCTGCATTTACCACCCATTATAATATTGATTATAATAAAATTAAGAGAAGTCTTCAAAGTTCTTGGCCAATTCTGCTACAAGACCCCATTTTGGGGACACATTTACCAGACAATCCCTTGGTAATCTACAAAAGGAATAAAAATTTGAAGGATATGTTGGCACCTAGTTATGCCATTAAACCACCATCAGGTCCCACTTCTGCTAGCTCAGGTTCATTTCGAGGCTGTGGCACTTGTAAAGCTTGTACCACGGTGTCTATAAAAAATACACATTCATTTTTTAGCTCCACCACGGGGGAGAGCTTTACACTTAGAGATAGTATAAATTGCCACACGGACTTTGTGGTATATCTGCTACAATGTCCGTGTGGCATGCAATACGTGGGACGGACTAAGAGGATTTTGAAGGTTCGCCTATTAGAACATCTTAATAATATCAGAAAGAGACTGACGACACACTCAGTCCCAACCCATTGTATATCATGTCCCCTTTTTTCATTTAAGGATTTTAGATGTTGGGGAATCGAACGAGTCCACCCCTTCTGGCGTGGGGGTAATAGAGTTCAAAGACTAGCCCAGAGGGAGACGTTCTGGATACATAAATTACAAACCCTCTCACCTAAGGGTCTCAATATCGATATTGATTTAATTTGTTTTCTAGATTAATATGGCCTAAAATCTTCAGAACAAAGAGTTAGGATATGTGTGTTTGCCTTTAATTTGGGTTGTTTCTACAGTTGAAAGCTAATCCCTACTTAGAGAGAGGATTTATATATATATCAAATACCAGGTAGTTATTTTATATCTCTTATATTTTATTTTATCTCTTTTTTTACAATTTGTGATCTATTGTCCTATATGACCAAAAATCACAAATGACTATAATAAAAACACAATAACCGATTATTCTAATATAAATAATGGATTTGCTCTAAGGTTTTTTAGAGCTGGTATAAATTGAATGTGGTAGATTCACTAAATAAAGTTTATATGGGAAGTAGTTATTTTGTAGCCACAATCTACTAACCCCTTTTTTGTGTAACCATAGCAATGGATTATTTCAATGTGTATAATAGGTTTATCCCAAAGATTTTTATGGGGAGTACAAATATATAACACGACAAATTGAAGTTTAAACTGATACAGTGATGAATTGATTACGGTGTTCACTTTGATTAACAATGTATAAAGTTATATAAAAAAAAAATAAAAAAAAAAATAAATAAAAACCTTTTAAATAATAGACATAGGAAATATGATCACTTTGTAATACGAAGCCTTAGGCTTATAATATACTGAGATATTATGATTACTTGGTACAATATGAGGATTAACATTATGTTGTGTGATGGGATTAATGAGGAGGGTGATACTCAACAGATATATATACATAAATAACGGCTAAATATGTTAAAAATGGTTAACAGTTTTTTTTTCTCAAGCAGAATGGGGCTTTTTATTTGTCCTGTGTTCCATTTGACCTTTTGAATGACTTGATCGCGCCCGGTTGCCATGGAGACGTTACTGGTGGAACGCATGTGGAACGCGGACGTGCCCGCGACGTCACTTCCGGTTTCGGCAAATTATGACCACTTCCGGTATTTGCCGAAAAAGGCGCAAATTACAAATTATGGAAAATGAATGGATGACAAACAGCTGCCACAGGAAGATCAGTCCTCCAATTAGAACCAAGGAGGATTTACACGCCTACTGGATCCACCAATAGACTTTAGGGATTAGCCCTATTTAAGGACACAGGGAGGGGGGATGTGTATAGGATATGTTTATGTATTGTACATTGATACATTGTTATTATTGTTTTTAATTGTGGTCCCTGAGGAAGTTCTTATAGAACGAAACACGTAGGACAACCTTCTGTTATTTGTATCCTATGCTGAATTGGTGACTACACTTTTTATCTAAATAAATTTTTTATTACTGAACCCTGACCTGTGGATGTCTTTTGGTGATACAAGGATCCAGAGGTGATAAGGAACACCAGCTAGCCCCCCATTCCATTGGGGAAGGCACCTTAAGAGCGCTTTTACTGCCTACATCCTGTGAGTGCACAAGATTACTGCGCATGAAATATTGTGTTTTATAACAATATCACACTATGTTTTGTTTTATGCTTTCTCTGTAGATTTATACAGCCATATCCCGAATCTTCTCTGTTTTGGTTTATACTATATATGATATAGGTCGCTTGTTTGGGTAACGACCTAGGGAGGCTGTCATACATCTTTATAAGCTAAGTACTATTGCTTTCTATATTATTTATTGATTGTATATTGTTTGGGATATACTTATAAGATATATAGATATACAGACAGCACGACAGACAGATGGATAGATAGATAGATAGATTTTTGGAAGATAACTGTACATTTGTGTTAAATATGATACAATACAAAAAATTCACTTTCTCTGTATCTCTGGATAAAAGGCATTGATGGGTTTTCAATCCAGTTCAGTCAACTTCAAATCAAATTGAAATCAAACACCATTCTTAAAAGGTTTTTTAAGTATCTAACTTGTGGATTTAGTTACAGTCCATGATAATTCATATATTCTCTCCTGTAGTACTCTAACAGACTCACTGTTATTTCAACAGACAGGTCATGTTTTAGAACCTCCTTCTGAATGGATGGTGATGTCACCTGTGCAATAGTTTCCAGTAAAACACCGTGTAAGAGCTATGACAAACATCTCCAGATTAAAGGAACAATCTAACATTAGGGACACACACCTGTATTCCTTATGATAGACATATATTGGGCAACCTAGATATCTCCCCCTCCTACCCCCTCCACCACGCCCAAAAAAAAGTTTTAATAAGCCATTTAATTTACTTTATTACCATCAGCACAAGTCAAATCAAGACTTCTCTATGGGAAGCATTCAGCACCTCAGTGCAGCACTGACCCCGGAAGCACCTCTAGTGGCGGTCTGTGTGACTGTGACTGGAGGTGGTGATCTATAAAGGTAGGATTTACAATGCAAAGGCTGCAGGGACAGGTTATAGATACCAAAATCACTACATTAAGCTGTAATGGTTCTGGTGACTATAGTGTTCCTTTAAGCATTATATGAGACTAAAAGCACTCCATAAAACACCCACCCTTCATATGTACATAGAAAAAGGGGAGAAACATGTAAAAGAAAAAAACAACAATAGTGTAAAATAGTCTCTATAATATCTAATAAAATCTGAACCCACATAGTGCAACATCACAGGAGAAGTTCCGTAGAATGTTGGATAGTGGAACAGCAAGGAGAATCCACGTGGTGGTAAAATATAGATTTGCTTTTATATGTTTCAACCCTATTTGCATTTACATATGAGGATTAGTGATGTCCCGAACGGTTCGCCGAACGGTTGGCCGAACGGTTCGCCGAACGGTTCGAGAACGGTTCGCCACGGACTCATCATTGAGTAAACTTTGACCCTGTACCTCACAGTCAGCAGACACATTCCAGCCAATCAGCAGCAGACCCTCCCTCCCAGACCCTCCCACCTCCTGGACAGCAACCATTTTACATTCATTGTGAAGCTGCATTCTTAGTGAGCTGTCCAGGAGGTGGGAGGGTCTGGGAGAGAGGGTCTGCTGCTGATTGGCTGGAATGTGTCTGCTGACTGTGAGGTACAGGGTCAAAGTTTACTCAATGATGAGTCTGCGGCGAACCGTTCGCGAACCGTTCGGGACATCACTAATGAGGATGAGTGTTTTTTTTTGTTTTATTTTATTGAAAGATTTGTTCAAAAGTTTTAGAAGAAATAGGGTGAAAACAGAGAGTACATTGCAAAGTCAAGGGACGCATACAATAACTAAGAGAATTCTCTGCATAATTAGATACTTGTAACAAAGCAAGTGTCTGCAAGGTATACATCAATAAAGAGCATGTGGATCACATTCGGTATAACGGAATCCCAATCATTTCAAACCATAGAGTGTGTGAATGGGTTACACCTAAGAACCTGGGACAGCGTCATGGTGCACTGCATACTTCCTAGGCATGGTACATCGAACTCAAGTTTACAGCAAACAGGGATATCCGCAGAGTTTTATAGCACCTACAGTTACACAGTTTTAATTAAGTACCTATACCACTCACGTTATTTACTGATTAACTCCTGGAAATCCATCTGTTCTCGGTCCTCAACAGACTGACAAAAGCATTAAAATAATTGGAAGCAACCTGAAGGCTTTAACTATACTCTACTCTCTGTGTCATTATAAAAACCTGCAGCAAATTTATACAAGGCATAAAAAAGGAAAAAAAAATTCAATATGTATTGACATTTCACAGTAAGGCAATATCACTTTTTAATTCCCCAACTTTGTACTATGTTCCTAGAGGTTATGGATGGCTCAACACAATTCACAAAACTCATTAAAAGGACATTGTGGGCGCCAGACCACTTCATCTAATTGATGTGATCTGGGTGGACTGTCCATGTCTCCTTAACCCTAGAGAAAACTACAATGTTTAAACTGCAGGGTTAAGATAGCTTCTAGTGGCTGTCTTCCAAGCAACCACTAGAGGCGCTTCCTGCAAGTTCATAGAGTTTATCTCCATGAAACAATGCTGGATGTCTTCACGCTTTGTATGAGGACATCTAGCGTCTTATAAATCCCCATAAGACAGCAATTATTCAATACTTTCCAATGGTGATGACCTAATTTGTGCACGGCCCTCGCCACACATTAGGTTCCCCCCCCATTGCCATGAACCTAATGTGTGGCGAGCACCGTGCACAAATTAGGTCATCACCATTGGAAAGTATGGAATAATTGCTGTCTTATGGGGATTTATAAGACTCTTGATGTCCTCATACAAAGCGTGAAGACATCCAGCATTGTTTCATGGAGATAAACTCTGTGAACCTGCAGGAAGCGCCTTCTCGCGGGAGAACGACCTCAATCCATTTACCTTGATACTGGATTTAGGTATGTGAAAAAGGGTTTGTAATCATTACATTGGCCGCGTGTTGGTGGAGGGGGAAATGCAGAGGCACAGTGACGCCGTAGTGTTAAATATATAGTTTTGAATTCCTAACACAATAGTGTTCCTTTGAAACCCTCCGACATCATTTAATATTGGTAGCCATTGCCGAGTGAAAATTCAGCCCTTGCCAGTAGAATATCACCCTTGGAGCCATGAATACTCCAATGGCAATTATATTTTAAGGCCTGATAAATAGTTTGAGACTTGACTTGACAGAGTGCAGACAGAAATAAAATATAATGAATTGTAATGAAGTTTAACAAATACATGCTTTATCATTTTTGGATGCATATTATTTTTAACACGCCTAAAATGTGTGTTCAGTAGTCTACGTCCATTAGAATTCCACAGACTAAAAATACATTGTTTACTTTCAGTTCCGTATTATTCTAAACTATAACGACTAAGGCAGCACTACATATTTAAATTTAATGTGCTTTAACATTGCACTTATTATGTTAGATATACAATAAGACTGATCAATACTAATATTGTCATATCTGCATTGATTAATGTTCTCAATTCTGCTGCTAAAGTAATTATTGACAGTGGCTCAATTGGCTTTTTGCCTCGGTTCTTTAACAAATAACAGAACCACATAATATCTGTGTGGGGAATGCATCATTCAAAACATAAAATTTCACTAACAATTAAAAATGTGATCCCTGTAGCTTCAAAATTTGCTTTGGATGAGTTTATTGAGATTGGGAGAATGGGAAATGATTTTTACATTTTTTTATTACATCGTGTTATATATCCAGAAATCCATCATTCTTTTAAGCTTTATGTCAGGTGAGTGACAAAATATTTGGGGCTCAGGGCTGGATTAACATAGGGGCTGATGGAGCTGCAGCTCCAGGCCCAGGCCCATGGAATAGGCCCATTTAAAAAATAAAAAAAATTACTTTTTTTTTTTTTACACACAACTCTTAGGTTTGACTGGTATTTTACTGGCACTGTATTTGAGGCTGCCTGGCTGTGCAGGTATTGCAGTAATACCAGCAGTACAAATGCAGGTATTTTTTTCAGTATAAACAGAGATTACTCTGCAATACCAGCACCGGTCAGGAGGAGTCACTGTGTGTGGAAAGAGGCAGGGATAGGAAGTCACAGGATATCCCTGCCTCTCTCTACTACTCACTGATTCGTGGGGGAGCAGCTACACAGCACAGTGAGTCCAGACAGCAGCTTAGGTAAGTGAGGAATGGGGGGGAAAGGCAGCAGGGAGACATGGGGACACTGAGACACTAGGGGACACAGACACTAGGGGACACTGGGAGACCTGGGGACACTGAGATACTTGTGGACACTGGAAAATATGGGGACACAGAGACACTAGGGGATGCTGAGACACATGGGAATGCTGTGAGACATAGGGACGTTGGGAGATACTGAGACATTGGGACATGGAGACACTAGGGACACAGTGTCCCCATGTCTCCCAGTGTCCCCATGTCCCCCAGCCAGTGTCCCTAGTGACTCAGTGTCCACATGGCTCCCAGTTTCCCCTAGTCTCCCAGTGTCTGTGTCCCCATGCCTCTCAGTGTCCCTAGTGACTCAGAGTCCCCATGTCTCCCAGTGTCCACATGTCTCCCAGCCAGTGTCCTCAGTGTCCCCATGTTTCTTAGTGTCCCCATGTCTCCCAGTGTGTGTCCCCATGTCTCTCAGTGTCCCCGTGTCTATGTCCACAAGTATTCCTAGTGTCTCAGTGTCCCCATGTCTCCCAGTGTCCCCTAGTCTCCCATGTCTCTTAATGTCCCTAGTGTCTTAGTGTCCCTAAATGTTTCAGTGTCCCCGTGTCTCCCAGTGTCTGTGTCCCCATGTCTCTGTGTCCCTAGTGTCTCAGTGTCCCCATTTCTCCCAATGTCCCCAAATGTCTGTGTCCCCTTGTCTCCCAGTGTCCCCATGTCTGTATTCACAAGTGCCCCCATGTCTCCCAGTGTCCCCAAGTGCCCCCAAGTGTCTCCCAGTGTCCCCAAGTGTCTCAGTGCCCCCATGTCCCACACACTGAGACATGGGGACACCTGGCAACATGGGGACACTGACACTGTAATACATAGGGACACTGAGACACTGGGTGACTTGTGAGACTGAGACACTGGGAGCCAGGGAGACACTGGGAGCAATTCATCTATACAGCAGAATCAAACTGTGAGTAGTTTGTTGGTGATTTTACAGAATTTTCTCTTATATCACTCCTTGTGATTTACCTCATGTGATGTCATGCATAACTAATTAATTATACAAATGATTAAGACTGGTATTTTTTTTCCCAAGAAAGGTGGCAACCCTAACTACTCTTCACATACTCTTGCTTAAAGGAACACTATAGGGTCAGGAACACATTCATGTATTTCTGACCCTATTATGTAAAAGCCACCATCTGGCCCCCCTGGCTCCCTCTTGCCTCCCTAAATATAACTGACATAATCAGAAGTGGTGGTCTGAGCAAATTATAATGCTTCCCCGTAAGATTGGCTGAGACTGTCAAATAGGCAGATCAGGGGCAGAGCCAGCACAAGTCAAACATAGCCCTTGCCAATCAGCATCCCCTCATAAAGATAAATTGAATCAATGCATCTCTATGAGGAAAGTTTAGTGTCTGCATGCAGAGGGTGGATACACTGAATGGCAGTGCTGCACACTAGGCAGTACTGCCCCAGGAAGCACCATCTAAGGAGTGGCTAGTGGAGTTATTATCTCTGAAAAGACAGTGTATAATGCAAAAAGCCTGAAGGGAATGATTATACTTACCAGAACAAATACAATAAGCTGTAGTTGTTCTGGTGACTATAGTGTCCCTTTAAGTTTGGAAGCTCAAGAGGGATGTATGGCAACAAAACTTGTGTGGACTGGCTGACAATAAAATTAGTTTAGGTAATGCAGACTTTGGTTTCTCTAACACTGTGGCATGTCCCCTTTCTTCTACACTCACTACATACACCTTTACTCTGCCCCAGACTATATACCAGGAACTTCTGCCTGCTAGTAAGAAGGTAAGGAGACAAGTGGACATGTGAGTGCTAGGGGACAGTCCTTAGAAAGCGTGGAGTAGGCGCATCATTTGATGCATTTATGTCAAGCTCAGGGTGCTGCCTGCATAGTATGCCCTTAGTTGGACAGCCTGCATGATTGGCAAGCAGCCTGACATGCATTCATGCCAGGCTGGACTTCCAATTCTTTGGACAAACATGCCCCCTTTTTGGGCATGCTCACCCCTTTTAGCAGGTCTGGTCACCTGATTTGCGTCAGTGGCACACCCTTTTACCCTGCTCATTGACTTCCTGCTTCACTGGACACTGCCATTAGGGGGTATGGATTTACTTGCAAGATGAAAGCATAAATTAGAGAGAGATTAGCATAGAGTATGTGTTTTCGTATAGCCGCATCCTTTCCCTCCAACACCATCTCCATCAGATACACGATGCTTGGGAGGTATGGTTGTTTTAGTGTTTTTGGTCAATAAGATTCTGTAATTAGGCCCCTCATAATTGTCAGCTCCAGGCCCACTCGGCTCTTAATCTGGCCCTGTTGGGGCTATTAAAAAGGACACCCCACTGCCGCATCCACACAATGCGGCATAGGGTAATAAATAAATATGCAAGATATTATTTCAGATCACTATTGCCTTAATTATTTAAAGGGGTAATTAAGCACCATAAAGACTACAGCCAACCGCAGTAGTTATGGTGCCAGTTTTTTAGTGGTACAGACCCACTATTAGAGGGCCTTTGTCACTACACTGCCACTTACGCATATTTTACTACTTTTACCGACAGTGTGTGAATTTCATGGAAATCCCAACACATAGATAAGGTGAGGTATCATAAGATAATATAAGCACTATTTTATCTTGATAGGAGGCAGAGCTTCTGTTGTCAAGTTTTGTCAATTCTCACAGAAGTTGTTGGCAATGCAACTGACAAAGATGGTGGCACATACAAGGCAGAGCTTCGGATAATTATATAGTGGGTGTTTTCACATAGCAAGATAGATCTATTTTATTATGTTATTTGTAATATCTTGGTTGTTTTAGTTTTTCTTTCCCCCCTTTTTTTTGTATTTTTTATACTGTAAATAATAAAAGTTATATTTTGAGCTCATATATGAATGACTTTCAAATTTAAAGTGTCTCTGTCACCTCAGACTTACCTTTCTCTTATTGTGTCATCTTCCCTTACTCTTTTATAACCTGTAATTTTCTGATCTATTTTTTTCTTTAAAACATAAGACAAAGTAGGGACTACTTTGAGTTATGCATTTTCCTACTCTTGGCAAACCTTGACAAAGGGTGGAGCTGAAGGCAAGCTTCACCCTTTGTTAGCTCGACAGACGAAGTGGAACTTGCCTTAACCTCCACCCTTTTGTCACAATTGTTAAGCGGAGGAATAATACATAAGACAAAGTAGTCTCTACTTTGTCTTATGTTTTAATGAGAAATAAATCAGAAATTAAGAAAAGAAGATTCAGATTCTGAAAGAGGAAACGAAGAGGAAACAATAGGAGAAAGGTAGGCTTGAGGTGACAGACACTTTAAAAAACTTTCAGTTAGTTTAAAGGGGTACTATGGTCACCACAACAACTTTAGCTCAATGAAGCCATTTTGGTGAATAGATAATGTCCCTGCAGTCTCTCTGCTCAATTCTACACCATTTAGGACTTTGTTTATGCAGCCCTAGACACACCTTGCTGCATGTGACTTACACAGCTATCCTAAACATTTCCTGTAAAGAGTCATCTAAAGTTTATCCTTTCTTTATTGCAAATTCTGTTTTAGTTGGAATTTCTTATTTCCTCCTCTATTGATAGCTTGCTACACCCTGCAGGATTTTACTGTATGTAATTAAAAGTTCAATTTGCAGAGCAGGAGATATACACTTTTAAAGTAAGTTACATCTGACTGAAAATAAAATAATTTTGTTTTCATGCAGACTGTGTCAGTCACAGGCAGGGGAGGTGTGGCTAGGGCTGCATAAACCAAAACAAAAGTTATTTAACTTCTAAATAGCAGAATACTGAGCAGTGAGACTTCAGGGGCATGATCAATACACAAACACTGCTTCATTAAGCTAAAGTTGTTTTGGTGACTATAGTGTCTCTAAGAAAAGTAGCTTACAATAGAGATAAAACCATATATTGTATAGCTATTGATTTATTTATTGATTTATGAGCTGGCTCTAAAGAAAAGCTTAGGCAGGATAGGTAGATTTGAGCAGGTATGGATGTTAGATGATTACGACAATGGCATCTGATTGATGAAAGTTAGTAATTGAGACCATTGGCATGGGTTTGTACTTGTATCACAGAAAAGGAATTCTTTGTAATGAATGTAGGTATGGAGGGCCACGTGGTCCCCATAAATGTTTATAAGAAAGATGGAGCACATAACATTCCATGGGTTCCCTTCTGGAGCATCATAATCAACGTTATCAACAAGGACTACAACGACTACAAGGCAAGTTTCCAGATGGAGCCATAGTGGTATTGGCAGTCCAGCTAAGCAGAGAAAAAAATGTAATAGCCAATATATTTAAAGAGAAATGTGGATCCAGCAGCTTGACTACAACCTTGGAAATCCACTGTGCAAGGTCAGCGCTCCTGTTTCTCATGGGCAGAAGGGATGGAGAACTTAGAGGGAAGAAAGTAGATAAAGTGATTGTGCAATCTAAGAGAGTCATGTGGCCTCTGTCCAGTCCAGTCTAATGAGGGGAACTAAACCATCCAGCACAATGTTTGTGTGTTCACCAATCAAATATTTGATTTGATTTCTTGGACTTCTCAGGCCACACTGGTTTTATTAGTACACTCTACTGCCCAAAATTAAAAAATTAAATCATTATATACACCCATGAACATGTGCATGTATGTATTCATTGGTGGTATTTCTGTAAACAGCATGCAAAACCTGCAGATCTCTTGTCTGCAGCATTTGCAAGCCCTCCCCTTCTTCCCCAGCCGAGACATTCTGTGGCTGTCCACTCACAGATTTCCCATTGTATTGTACAATGCTATCATATCCCATCTGAGAGACTGTTTTTCTAAATTAATTAATTATGTAGCCTGCATCTGCACTTTTTCTAGTGCCATAATATCCCTCTTTAGAACATGTGCCCAAAATTGCACAGCACATTCAAGGTGTGGTCTTACTATTGATTTATAAATAGGCAAAATGATATTTTCATCCTGGAAATTAATGCCCCTATTTATACATGACAATTAGTGATATCCCGAACGGTTCGCGAACGGTTCGCCACGAACTCATCATTGAGTAAACTTTGACCCTGTACCTCACAGTCAGCAGACACATTCCAGCCAATCAGCAGCAGACCCTCCCACCTCCTGGACAGCATCCATTGTGAAGCTGCATTCTTAGCTGTTCAGGAGATGGGAGGGTCTGGGAGGGAGGGTCTGCTGCTGATTGGCTGGAATGTGTCTGCTGACTGTGAGGTACAGGGTCAAAGTTTACTCAATGATGAGTCCGTGGCGAACCGTTCGGGACATCACTAATGACAATACATTACTGGCCTTAGCAAGTGCTGATTGACATTGCCTATTCTTGCCAAGTTTGTTCTCTATAACAATTCCAAAATCCTTTTCGTGTGTTATTATCCCTAAATCACTACCGTTTAGGGTGTAAGTTGCTTGTTTATTCTTTACCCCAAAGTGCCTAACCTTTCTCTACATTAAATTTCATCTGCCATTTGAGTTTCATCTGTCATTTGGGGAGGAGGGGAAGAATTGGCACTTAAATTAAAAAATTCTAGCAATTCTGCTAGCAACATCTATATGTTAAATATTAAGTTAAACATAGCATGTACCATGACAGGTACACTTTAACCAGTCAAACTATAGCAGATATATACTACTATATTAATTTAAATTCTGCAAGAAGCCTTGAAAAAGCTGTGTTTACAAGGAATGAACCACGCTTTCTTGCAAATCATGATTACAGAGGCTACTCCATGACAGAGTTTCCAATCAGACGTTCCCATCTATAGCTTGAAGTAAAAATCAATGGTTTGAGATGTAAGCTTGAGAACGGAATGATTCAAGCAAGAAATTAATCCAAGCATCTTGATAATCACCTTCTATTGATCGTCTACTTTACTCTGATTGCCAAATTAATTTGCTTTGTAATGCTTGATCTTCGGAAAGTGCAAGTCACATTCAAAATGGCTTAGTATTACATTCAGGCACTTATATAAATATGGGTCATATTAACAGATTATGCGTTATAATAATTATAAACTACTCTCTTATACGGTGAGTGTGTGTATGTGGGTGTATATATATATATATATATATATATATATATATATTTAACGTGCAGTTAGGCAGTTAGGGGATTCGCACTAGAGTTTAAAAGTAAAACATACACAAGTACACTTATACTGACAATACTTTATATCACGACAACTATATGATCCAACACGCAGAACTATGTAACATCTACATAGAATAGAAAAACAGACAGAACGTGAACCGGGCCTTAGAATGGCCGGGTTAATACGCTGAAGAATAGATAATAGTCAAGGGAAAGCCGAGGTCAAGGGAGCCGGAAACACACAAGATCGATAAGAAAGCCAAGTCAGGAAAACCAGAAATTAGAATAGTCAGGAATAGCCGAAGTCAAAAACCAGCAATATCAATAACAAGATCAGGAAAACTTACTCTCGGATACCAGGAACAGAAACCACGACAGGGCAATGAGCTATGGTATTCTGGGGTTTAAAAATTCTAGCAATTCTGCTAGCAACATCTATATGTTAAATATTAAGTTAAACATAGCATGTACCATGACAGGTACACTTTAACCAGTCAAACTATAGCAGATATATACTACTATATTAATTTAAATTCTGCAAGAAGCCTTGAAAAAGCTGTGTTTACAAGGAATGAAGCCCTCCTTGGGCTGTGATTGGTCAGAGCTTGGGCACTGACCCCAGAACGTCTGTGTGCGTTGACGTCGTGATGCATAATTTTTGGAAGCGGGGCTTTAAATGGACGCGACCTCGCGGTCAGCGATATTTTGGATCCCGCGTGTGAAGGAGATGGACTCCCCAATGGCCCAGCCGAGGGGCCGTGACACACACTGACACTTCAGACATCCATACACATCCCACCTGTAATACTGTGTATGGAACATAAATTGCTTAAAGGACCACTAAAGATACTTCATCTCAGTGACATGGTTTGGACGCAGCGGACTTTAGTTGTAGGCCATGCAATGTAGAACATTGCATTTTTGTAGAAACGGCAATGTTTCCATTGCAGAATTAAAGAGACACATTAGGCAGCAAAATTTGTCCATAGTTTCTAGATGCTTGTATGTCAATATAATAATGAAGATTAACTAGTTAAATGGCTTTGAAATCGACGACACACCTCGCAATTAATAAGGCCGCATATCCAAAAAGCAAGAGTCAATAAAGGCTCTAACAGCAGGGATGTAGGAGATCTGCTGCGGAGCTCACAGACGGCAGCATGAGACAAAATGGCGCTGGTACATGACCCCTCTTCTTACTCCTTGGAGAAATTTGCTATCGATCGTGGTGAGGGGGCATCATTTGGCCCAGAACTGGAGCATAAAGCCAAACCTACGAAAACCGGGGACCATGTTACAGCGGTTCTGCTCAAAAGCATGTTGGAAGATCTATGCAAGAAGATGGAGGATCCCATGTGTACTTCTCTTCACAAGCAAAGGGACTACCTATAGAGCACAATGCTCTCAGGAGATTCATGGTGTCCCCGACAACGGCTGGATGAGGCTTGTCCAAGTTGGACCCTGGTGACATCAAATAGTTAACTCCCCAAGCATCTCAGAAAGCCTTACCTGCCAGAGCACTAACCTAAGGGACTGTGCCCAGATGCGAATCTGTGATATATACCTTGTCCTTCTAAGGGACTCTACTTTGCACTATTACTAAACACTGTTTGAGATCATTCTTACTTTCTTCTTTATTATTAGTTACAATTTTTGGAGATTAGTTACTAAGGGCTGGGTATAGTGTTCCGCTCTCAATAATGTCAAAAAATTACTAACAATTTCAAAAATACAGACCAAAAAGCTGAGATGACTTATCTGATTAGAATTTGTTTTCCAGATTTTCTGTTTTAAGCTAAATTTTTCAAGTCAGTAGGCAACTTGCTATTTATTATTTATTCAATAAAGTGATACATTAAAGAAGTAAAAATACTTTAAAGTATGTATGACCAGTGTTTTCTATTGGTGTTTTTTTCACTCAAAGGGACATTATAGGCACCCAGACCACTTAATCTCATTGTCCCAGTCCCACGTAGTCCTGTAATCTAAATCATTGTAGTTTTGGAGAAACTGCAATAAATTACATTGCAGGACTAAGAATGTCAACCAGCACTTCCTGGTGGGTAACTGACATTTGGTCCCCTATCCAGTGTCAGTAAAATCTCCATAGGAAAGCATTTAATGTTTTCCTATGCGGAGGGCCTAATGTGCTCACAGCGCTCACCAGGCATGCCCCCACCCCCTGTTTGATGAGGTTATTGAAGGCGGAGTGCAAACCAAGCCTCGAGGGAAATCTGCACTGGAATCGGGTAAGTTACTAAACGGTTTTTAACGCTTTAGATGCGGGGGCGAGGAAGGGGAGGGGGGGGCAAGGAAGGGGGAGGGGGAGTGAGGGGGGTAACCAGAGGGCTCTATAGCATTAGGAATACAGATTTGTATTCCTAATACTATAGATTCTGCTTAACTCAGAATTGTAGCAAATAAAATACAAATACTGCGGGCTAATATAGCTGGTCTGGAAAAAGAATCTCTAACTCAGCTATAGTTTTGGTTTTTAATTCACTATAATTCAGAGTTTAGTAAAAAACAAACAAAGCAAACCCGTGTAATTAAGATAATATAATGAGCTTATATTATTATTATCGGCATTTACATAGCAGCAACTTATCCCACAGCACTTTACAATATTGAATTATATGTCCATAGACACCTCTGGGAAGCTGAACCATATCAAGAAAAAACATGTAACCTTAAAGCTATAGTGTCCAAGTAACTACTCAGATTATTGCCTCCTTCCCCTCCTCAATGAAATAAGTAAAGCCATTTATTTCATCGCCATGCCAGTCTCTGCCCTGCTCCACCTCCTTGGCTGAGGTTATCATTCTTGATGATCTCAGCCAATCCAATTGTTTCTCTATAGGGAAGCATTGGGAAGCTAGTGCACGTGCTCTGTAAAACGCCATGCTGCGCCAATCACATGCGCTCTATAAGCTGCATTTGATGGAATAAACAAGTCTGACTTGGTAGGAGGCGTATTAACATTGCGGTATCTACTGAACAGCTAAGTTACAGATTGCAGGTTTAAAACTAAAGTGCCTCTGCCCTCAGACCGCTTCATTGAGATAAATTTGTCTTGGTGCCTTTAATATGTATGACAGAGAAATAAATCCATCAAAAAGTATCCACTTTCCATTTAACCCTTTGATCGTCACAGCTCTGGCAATCAACGGGTTAAACTTGTAACTAGCATGCCTTTTTCAATTAAGCTTTAAAGGAACACTACAAGTGAACTGTAGTGGTGATTGTGCCAGTAGAACTCTGGTACACCGCGATGTAAGTAGTCAAGCAGTTTGTTAACATTTGACAATTAACCTGCGGTCTGCCGGGTGCAGGGATCAGCTGATAATCTCATGGCAGGGTTTGGTTCAGGAGCCACACAGTAGCTTCTGCCTCTCAATGGAGGAAGTGGATGGCACCTGGCAGGTCCCAGGTAAGCTGTTAAAACTATTAGCAAACAGTTTGAATTCTTACCTTGGAATGCACAAGGGCACTCCTGGCACCATAACTATTACAGCCAGGGCCGGACTGGGGATACAAAGCAGCCCTGGAAAAAAAATCTATGCCAGCCCCATAAGTCATTGCGCCATATATTGTCGCATGTAATATGTAAGGCTATGTCTTGCCACCCCAGATGATTGAGTAATATATATATATATATATATATATATATATATCAAATATATATTGCTTTTTCTACTATAAAATATTGGTCCTTTCAGAGTAAAACGTTTAATTATACAGTAAGCATACTCACATGCAGACACAGACAATCTCACTGACACACACAAGCTCATTGATACACAGCCTCATAGACAAACAATGTCACTGATATACATAAGCACATTGACATAAAAACACAAGCTCACTCACTAGCAGACGCACACACACACACACATGCAAGCAAGCTCACTCACTAGCAGGCACACATACACACACACACACACTCACACACACACACACACACACAGCTTAATGTAATGGTTCTGGTGTATATAGCCTGTCCCTGCAGGCTTTTCAATGTAAACACTGACTTTTCAGAGAAAAGGCAGTGTTTACATTGCTTCCTAGTAACACCTCTAGTGACAGGCACTCAGACAGACACTAGAGGTGCTCCCTGTGTCAGTGCTGCACAGTGTGCAGCACCTACATTCAGGGCCTCCACGCTCTGGAGGCGCTGAACGTTCCCCATAGAGATACATTGAGGAGATGCTGATTGGTGTAGCGTTTTGCAGCCAATCCTATGGCAAAGCATCGGATTGGCTGAGATCATCAAGCTTGATGATCTCAGCCATAGAGGCAGGGCCAGTCATGGGAAGACCAGCACGGCGTGGGGAGAAAAAAAGGTGAATAAAAACACTATTTTTAAATAATTACACATTAATATAAAGTGTGAGTAATACAACATATATTGTCCTTCCATTCTCCAAACACCAGATTGTTGCATCTTAGTATGTATGCCATGCCTGATGAGCTCCATTTGGAGTATCCTTTCATGGTATGTATACGTACTGTGAATTTTCCTGGTTTCACTGTTGTGTGTGTGCTGTCTTGGCAGGGGTTCTCCCTCCCTTTCGTATATTTGCCCTATCTTGCGCCTGTAGTTTACTGTGTGTTGGTTCTAAACTGCCTGCTCCCTGTTCAGGAGGACCGCCATGAAAGGAATTTATTCACCTCCCGAACGGGGAGTATCCTGAAATCTCATTCGGAATGTTGTTTTAGAACATTCGCATCTCGTAAGGGAAGCTTCGGCGCATGCCTCTCCTGGGTGTCAGCCCGTGCGTTAGACGAACGCCATGCAGGGGCAGCATTTGTGGATTGCTTCCCACCTCATTCGGTACCCGAACGAGGACCTTCCCAGTGCCCCTTGGAGTGTTCGCACCAATCAATTAGAACGTTAGCAACTTGCAACATAAGTGTGAGGCCGCAAGTGAAGTAATTAATTAAGTGGTTCCCTGGGTGGCCGCCGTTCGTATAGACGAACGCCGGCCAGGGGGAGCATTTGTATCACGAATAGAGATGCTTCCCTTGCCTGGTTTCACCCAGGGACCTTGCGAATGGAGGATGTTGGGGACCCTCTTTGGGGGGAATGGTGGTTTGGTGGGCTTTCTGTAGCTAGGAGCCAAAGAGGCGGGCAGCTTTCCCCCGCTGGGGCTCCCGGGTACAGAGGCTCATGGGATGGAGATCCCTTATCACCGGAGGTGGGAATCCCTGAGGATGGGTGGCGGGAACAGGGTACAAGGGGAAAAAGAGAGTTCCGTTTTCATCAGGAGACCCCTGAGAGGGTGGGGGCCATGGGAGGGGTCACTGAGTGGCGGAACAAGAGACAAACGGACTGGGGTTCCGGATCCGTTATATGACCCCTGGGAGGGGGAGTACCCTGTGAGGGGACATTCTCTTTATGTGTGTTCTACCCCTTTAGTGTGGCCAAATAAAGTTGTTGTTGTACCCCTAGAACTGTGTGTCGTCCAGTTACTGGGGGTGAGGGGGTGGAGGGGGGTTATGGGTCTCTTTATTCATTAATAGCGGATGTAACCAGTCGGGTTACCCAGGGTCTGCTACAACCTGCACTACATATCTTTTCCATAAAAGAAGCCCCAAGACCTTGGAATCCAGTCTCATGCAGTACTTCACAGAGAGGTCAGAATGCCAAGGTAACATTGTAGTTATGGTGCGACACGACCCGGTGGATCAACCTTTTAGCCACCCCTGTCTTAGAGAGACTCCTACATAATCCATGGCAGTGACAATCACTAAAGCTGAATACATTGTGTAGCGGATGGCATTGGGCTGTCCTCAGAATTATGTATATTCGTATGTTTTCGGTTAATTTTTGCCATATGTATGTAAAGTGTATGCAGCATTCGCCTGATTGTTCGGTAAAATCACTCCAGTTATTATGCGACTGAAACTACCGAACAATCAGACCACCCGAGAAATAAGTGTGTCTCCAATTACCGTTCGCAACAATGTTGTAAAAGGGTAATTGGCAATCAGTGCAGTGTGTGCTTTGTCCTCTGGGTGGCCGCCATTCGGGAGACGAACACGTGGCGGCGGCCATCTTAAACTCCCGAACAGCGGTGTTTTGCTGTCGAGTGTCTGGAACCCAAATCGGACACTCGGTTAGGCAAACACCTGTTAGGCAAACATATGTGATACTTTGTGTAGAAACTACTGAACGGATCCCCGTTCGGTAGAAAGAACCCCACAAACAAGGGGGTTTATCCGAATCCTCCCCAGTCTCCATAACCCAAACCGTTCGGGCATTTTGTTCCCTTTTTCTGTGACTGACCGCAGGGCAAAAATGTATGGAACCCATTTTGGCTGTTAATCCCAGCGCGGTCTGTCTTTTTACTACCTCCAGGAATTTCCCGAACCCCTGGTCTGATCTGGGTGATTTTTGAATATGTTTCTCACCCAGATCAGGGCTACCAGGGGATGTAATATTTAAAGGGGTACCCCTATTTTTAGGGGTACATCTAGAAAACCAGGGGAACTGTGTACTGCATAATGGGATTATGAGTCATACTAAGGGGAGGGGATGTCTGGGTGGCACCTCATGTATGATTGGTGTATTGTATAATTACTGTAAATCCCTCCCTTGCATGGGAGAAAGCTTTAAAAGAAGGTTGAGTGATTAAAAGTTCAGTTCTGCTCCTGATGCTGTGTGTCGTCCAGTCATTGGGATTTATATTGGAATATTTTTGGATTGTGGATTGTTTTGCCTGCTGTAATTATTGCCTTATTGATTTTTAATACTTGTTCCTGAGCCTCACTGGGATCTTGAGTGGAGATAACCTGTGGAATATCAGCTCTCTGCTACACATTGTATATACATTTCTTTCATCTCAGATTCTATACATAAATATGGAATGTAAAACTCAAACTCAGGGGTGTAATTCTAAAGGCAGATAATAAATGCTTCCAATTATTAATGAATGGCTAAGGCTCCTACCTGTTGGTGTCAGTACCTACAGGGTAACATTGTGACCAGCTTCACTCCCACATACTCACACTGGACAGATATGATGGGATTATCAGCCTGGGTTTTACATGGGGATTCTCATTATAAAAGACACTAAATGCCATTTAACATACATCCCCACAACCTGCACAGAAATCCCAATCTGCACGCACCTTTGGTGTAAGGATGGGGATTAGCTCTAAGAGACTTGAAGGTAGAACCTAGAGGGTTAAATTTCTACAAGTCAAGTCCATTACTGCCACATAAAAAGCACAATATAACTAAACATAACACAGCAAAGTAAATATAACCAAACAGTATACACTACAATACATCCACACTGACATTGCAATGCAAGCAAGCAAAATAAAACCAAACACAGCAATACAGCCAAACACACAAGCAAATAAAACACAATAAACCACATTATAACCAAACATCATAAACTACAGCGCAACTAAACAAAATGCAATCAGATACAATGCAGCCAAACACAACATGCCATAAACAAAAATAACACCACACAACACAACACAATCATAAACCATTCACACCCAAACACAACATGGGGTTAAGATCTGGTCTGGGTTAGAGTCTGGTTTTGCCAATTTAGCATCCCTCCCCATTGCTTATACCCTGCAAAGTATAACTCCCATCACACCATGGCTGACTGAGCATACTGAGAGTTACAGTCCACAGAATCAGCTTGCACGTCAGACGTACAACAGTTTATTGCTTTTGACTCCCACAATTAAATAAAATAACTCCCCACTTGGCAAGCCTTGTCCTGTCAGGCTGCACACATCATAAAGTGAATAAAGTAGAGTCTGTGTATCCTTACCTGGTATTTAAATGCCCCTCAATGCAGTGTGGATTGAGGAAATCCCATGTCAGTCCCAAAGCAGTGCACAGGCTCTCTTTTCCAGGATCCAGAAGTGATTTGAGGGTTATAGAGGGCTGGCTATTCCCCCTGTTAACAGGGCAGAGGGAGGCAGTTTGGAAGCAGATTTGTGGGGTTTGCAGGGCTGTCTCCCAGTGGGGTCAGTGGCTGATGTAGGACTCCTAGCATTGCAGATACTGAGCCTCTCTCTCTGTGTGTGTCTCCTGCAGCTGTTCTGCAGCCCAGCGCCGCCTCCGCTTCCACCACCCACCGCCTCTGCAAGCCTGTGCCCAGGAACCTGCAGCAAGTGGCAAGCCAGGACTGTGCCAAGGAGAGCTTCCCCCTCCACCCCCTCCTCCTGGGGATGCAACAGGGATCTGGGGGCGGCAGAGGCGGCCAAAGTCAGCAGTATAGGCAGGGGAGGGGGGTCGGGGGGACAGAGAGACACCCCCAGTTCTGGCTACAGGGAGCTCATTGCAATGGGACTTAACATATGTGATACAATGTTTCCGTTTGGGATGAGAACTGGGGGGCTACCTGCACTAAATAATCCCCCCAATCCAAATATAAATGGCTGTAATTAGTGCTGCTAATTAGGCACTAATAAGAATAAACTCCATGTGCAGCAGACTGCAACCCTCATCATCCAAAGGCAGCCTTTAAAGTAATTATGTATATATTATGTATTTTTTTCAATTCAATTTTTTTTATTAAGTGAATTACATCATTATCTAACTTTTTTTTATTAATTATGATAAAAGAACATGGTATAGTAAGCAATATATTAAGTGACTATAACAACATAACTGTTGGTGTTATAACAGGAATAGGCTGTCTCTTGGGGTCAACAGGTATGGCAACCTTAGGCAACTTGGTGTTTGGAACCCAGTGGCTAAGTTATCAGTGCTAGGTAAGTCCGGGTCTCTGAGCAGGAGGTGGTTAGGTCTCCGGACCACGACATCTACGGAACCGACTCACGTCAAGTCACGGCTTCTTGCTGGTGGGTGCAGTTTCTTGGGTATGGTCTGTTGCGGTTGTGTAATCGCGTTGTTGTTCCTAATTTCACGGACCAATTCTTTATTTTTTGCCTCTGGAGAAGCTCCTCGTGGGTTGATGGGCAATCCCAGTGCCTGCAGGACATTAGATTTATGTAGGGTTTATCGCCATAAGCCGTTGTTCATTTTTTATTGTTTTTTGTTTACGATTTATGTACCCAGCTATACTTAGCTAGGGACTTGGACATTCTCACATATCCAAGCTCGGGTCCCACGTGTGCCCATTGGTACCATAGAGTCTTGAATACTAATAGCCACTATTTGGACGCTGCAGTTATAAAACACTTTTGACAAAGAAGTATTGTCTATTTTTGACTATATAACACAACGGTTAGTAATAGATAGAGTCCCCTATTAAATTCCACAGAGGATATCAGCATATTACCCCTTGATAACTCCCCTTTTAATAATACCATATAAATAATACTTAACATAGGATATGCCCTACACTCAGAGCTTTCATATATACTAATACCTCACTGGAATACCCAGCAACCCTTTGTGATGCAGATGTTACCAGTCAAGTTCTCCTATAGTGTTTCAGAACTATTATTTACTACACATTAAGTAGTGATGTATAAGCTATTTTGAGTTGCCAACCATATTTTCACATTGGGTACACTCAGGCAATACCTCTCTGAACATACATATGCTATGTCTAAATTGTATTATTGTATCCTTTATTGAAGATATGTTGTGCTAATCTACCTTTGATTTACGTTTTCGCTCTAGTCTTTCCCCACACCCTGGTGTCAGCAAGAGCTAGCTGTTGTTGTATTATATTTTGTAATCAGTACACTACCCCAGCTCTATGCTTTACCCTCATTCTTGGAACCGATCGCATTTGCGATCGGGTTGTTGCCATGGCAACATGGAAATACACGCCCCCTTGCGTCCCGGCGGGTTTCCCAGGCAACCGCTGGAACGCAGGGGTTACACAGCAGCAACAGCTGCAGCATACATGTAATAGGGTCAATTTTTGCCCGCGATTTTTGGCGTCCAGGTAGCAGGCTCACACAGCAGCTTGGGTAAGTCTCAGTTGTATCCTATGTACATGATTAAGAGTGTTATTTATTTTGTAACATTTGTAATGCACTGGTATCCTGACGAAAGTCCCGACATTGGACTGAAACGTTGATCACTTTTTGGCAGTTGCTGAATAAAGCTAAGTTTATTTTTTCACCTTATATGAAGTCCCAGGAGTGCTTTTCATATTTTCTTATCTATATATATATATATATATATATATATATATATATATATATATATATATATTGTGAGCGTAAAAGTGGAATTGTGATTGATGGAAGATACATCAGGCCTGATTTGTTAAACAGCAACCTGAGAATTTTCAGTTAAATGCCCCAGGGAGAGATGTTAGAGTTTGCAATCTACATTGCTGAGGTTCTGCAAAACATGGTATGGGTCCCTGGGGCAGAGTATTTGGAGAGCAGGGTGGGCCAATGCTCCAACAGCACTAGTTGCTGTGTAACAGACCACAATTTAGGTCTGACTTAAGAGTTAACTAATTGGCACTCACCTGTGGCTAGTCAATTAGCAGACAGGCCTTTAAAAGAAGAGGGCAGCCTGCTGCAGAGTGAGGGAGGAAAAGACAGCTAGGAGAGTGAATGGCAATTGTGTTTATTGCAAAGACATTTCTTTTGTTTGGAAAATTGGTAAGTGGGAAAGCCACCCAATTGCAGATAGCAAATACTGTCTAGTAAGAGCTCAAGTAAGAGCAAGGGATTTTGTTTGTTTTGTTATTATTTAAAGCACCTGTTTTCTTACTGAATAAAAAGGAAAACTGAGCTGAATGTGTCCTGGACTTTGTATACCCTAGAAGGCTGTGGTTACTGCAAGATCTGTGACAATCCTACCTGTAAAAGAGGTGGTTTGTTACAATATATATATATGTATTTTTTTCAATTAATTTTTTTAAGTGAATGACATCATTATCTAACTTTTTTTTTATTAATTATGATAAAAGAACATGGTATAGTAAGCAATATATTAAGTGACTATAACAACATAACTGTTGGTGTTATAACAGGAATAGGCTGTCTCTTGGGGTCAACAGGTATGGCAACCTTAGGCAACTTGGTGTTTGGAACCCAGTGGCTAAGTTATCAGTGCTAGGTAAGTCCGGGTCTCTGAGCAGGAGGTGGTTAGGTCTCCGGACCACGACATCTACGGAACCGACTCACGTCAAGTCACGGCTTCTTGCTGGTGGGTGCACTTTCTTGGGTATGGTCTGTTGCGGTTGTGTAGTTGCGTTGTTGTTCCTAATTTCACGGTCCAAGTCTTTATTTTTTGCCTCTGGAGAAGCTCCTCGTGGGTTGATGGACAATCCCAGTGCCTGCAGGAGCGGCTCTGGATCTTCCGCTCCTCTCCTCCACTCTCTACCAAGAGGAACCCCTTTAATCCCCAGCAGTATTTCATGGAGTGTTCTCTTAGTCGACTAGCAACTTTGAGCCAGCTTCCTCTTCTCTACCAGGACTGAGAACAGCACATCTGACAGTGTGCCCCTTATAATGTATCGTCCCCATCTCTCTCGAGCAGCTCATAATCACCGATCTCGCTGCGATATCTCTTGTCAACGCGATTATATCTCTGGGTGCGCCACCTGGTCCCGCTGCTAATTTCCTCACTCTGAACGCGGAGGTTATCATAGGCCTTGCAGGGGTGTCTTCAATTTACATGTGTGTAAGCATGTCTTTGATAAACACAGGCAATGTCTCTGTACTTACTTGCACTGGGATGCCCCTCTGCTGTGGTGCTGAATTTGAACGGTAAGTCCTGGTTTGTCAGCTGTGTCTTGTATGTGTTTGTACCTGTCAGCCTCTCTCCCCTCCAGCTCTCTCACCTTTTTGTGGACAGCAACAATCTCTGCCTGGGTCACCTGGAGGTCTTCTTTCCAGACCCTCCAGAGGTCAACCAGGAGCCTCCTATAGTTTCCTTTCGTTAAGGGGGCTTCATCCTCGCCCGAATCTGAGGTGGGGGTCGTAGCCCCTGAGCGGGGAGAGGTGAGAGGATGTTTTTCCTCCAGCGAGGCCTCTGATGGCTCTAGCATGTCTTGTGGTTCCGGCGCCATTTTAAACATTTGCGGTTTCTCAAAGCAGAGACGAATATCAGGCTGACAGGAAACCTCTGACTGGCAACTTTTCTCATTTTTTTTTGTTTTTCCGCCCCATTGTCTCTGCTTGTGGGGGGTGCTGTTTTGGTGCAAAAGTTCCACTTTTTGTGGCTCTAAGTCTCGGGTTTCCCCTAGGCCCGGTCGGAGCTCAGGGAAAAGATGTCTTCGTTGGCGTTCTGTAGTCTACGCCCCCCCCCCCAAAGTAATTATATTTCTAGAGAGAGCTAGGAGAAAACACACATAGGGGAGAAATTATTTATTTCTTAGGGCTATTTTAAATTTTTTTTTTTTATAAACCTTACATTATTTAGAGTCAGACAACTTACAAACAATGTATCATCAAGTATGTTTTTTTAGAGGTAGACCAACAAGTTAAAGATCATATTAATAATAATTTAAAAAAAAACAAAGCTGACTGTGCAGTCAGTTTTAATAACACAATGCATGGGTAAAAAGAAAAAGACTTGACCCGCCTGTTTCCCAACATGACCTGGTGAGTGAGTTTTAAAATCTAATTATGTGCCACAGCTCTGCAAATCCCTATTTACCACGGTTATTACATTATGTAATAACTAATTTTCACTTAATAACTGGAAATGACAGGAACACATCATGGCAGAAAATCCTACAGAGCGCTGACACATGACACTTTATTTTAGGGCCTGAAATCAAACTTTTTTAAAACTCAATTTCTTCATTTCAAATTTTATTTCTTTGGGGTAATTTAAAAAAAAAAATAGTTTTGATCCATATGACCAGCCTTGGGTTCATCCCTTCCAAACTACACTGTCTCAAATATTTCTGTAAATACATTCCGGCACATAATGTCATGGCTTAGGTTTCTAGGGGTTGTAGTTCAGCTGTAAGCTTTGTGCAGTAGAATGCTGAGCATTGAATGAAAACTCCCAGAATCCCTTGCCACAAAGCATTACTTTATCATAAAATGGATTCACACTAGACTCTTCCTTTAAGAAAAGATTTAGTGAAAAAAAAATGCAATGAAATTGAGTAAAGGTACTTCCAGGCACTTTACAAAACAATCAATTTCTGATTTTGGCAATTACAATGTTCCATGAAAATGTGAAAAAGAAGCACACTTGGTGCTTTGCAGTAAGTATTGCTCGTACAGTATTTCACTGTGGGATACTTGTTCTGACCAGACTGACCTGTGAGAACTGGCATCTTTGTTGGATCACAATGTTCAAATTTATTTCCAATTGCCTTTAATGTATATTATTATAAAAATGAAATACAAAAATTCACTACATTGCTGGTGCAAACGAAAAATATGTTGCAGTGCTTTTTACAATACTTATTAATACCTACTATTTAGTGAACTAGTATAATTTATTATAGTACTATATATATGGGTGTTTTGCAGATACTTTTGGACATTGCGTCTGCTTCAAGTAAGACTTAAAGGGACACTATAGTTACCAAAACAACTTCAGCTTAATGAAGCAGTTTTAGTGTATAGATCATGCCTCTGAAGTCTCACTGCTCAATATTCTGCCATTTAGAAGTTAAATTTCTTTCTGTTTATGCAGCCCTAGCTGCAGGCTGTGACAGTCACAGTCCAGGGAGGTGTTCCCTGGACTGTGACTGTCACAGCCTGCATGAAAACAAAATGGTTTCATTTTTAATCAGATGTAACTTATTTTAAAATCTAGCAAGCAATAAACAGCGAAGTAGATAAAACTTTTTTTACATTAAACAGAATTTGCAATAAAAGAAGTGTAAACATTAGATGACTCTTTACAGGAAGTATTAGGAAGGCTGTGTAAGTCACATGCAGGGAGGTGTGACTAGGGCTGTATAAACAAAGTGATTTAAATCCTTAATGGTTAAGAATTGAGCAGTGAGACTGCAGGGGCATATTCTATACACCAAAACTGCTTTTTTTTTTTTGGTGACTATAGTGTCCCTTTGAGATTTTAGTTCAGCTAACAGCTTTCATATGTAAAAACCTAATAATGATACTACAACTCCCATAAATGCTTGATTTGCTTAGGAAGCCCATTGTGCAGGCATTGTGATATGGGGGGCTGCTATATAGGAGAAATTGAGAGAAATGTGAACTAGAGAGGAGGAAACTTTACAGCAGCTCTGTCACCTTCAGAGACGCGTAAGGTCAGGGCCACTATCAAAATTTTTGGAGGCCCTTATAAACCTAGAGGCTGGACCCCCGTATACCCATTATCCAGCTACATATACATACAATGCTACACACATACATATACACTCTACAGCCACTTCTATACACAAACAGTACTACACACACATACACTACTACACACACAAACTATTACAAATACAGACATTGTTAACACACTCACCTACATATCCATACATTGCTATACACAAACTATACACACACATACATTTAACCCCTTAAGGACTGAACCAAATGTACACTTTGTGATCAAAAGAAAACGTAAACAAAACCTGGCATTTGCGCTATATGTTTGTTCAACCGTAATTCACCTCTTTCATTTAATGTTCACCCACACTTATTATATATAATTTTATTCAGGGGAAATAGGGCTTTCATTTAACATCAAATATTTAGCTATGAAACAATTTAATATGAATAAAATATAAGAAAATGGGAGAAAATAAGACATTTTGTTATTTTTTTTAGTTCTACATGACATTTTAACTGTGAATGTCATAATACTGTTTACTTTTACTGCAATAAAATACACATATTTGTATTCAGCGATGCCTCACGTGTAAAACAGTACCCCCTATGTACAGGTTTTATGGTGTTTTGGGAAGTTACAGGGTCAAATATAGTGTGTTAAATTTTTAATTTTTTTCACATTGAAATTCGCCAGATTGATTACGTTGCCTTTGAAACCGTATGGTAGTCCAGGAATGAGAATTACCCCCATGAAGGCATTTGCAATAGTAGACAACCCAAGATATTGCAAATGAGGTATGTCTAGTATTTTGTAGTAGTCACTTGCTCACAAACACTGGCCAAAGTTAGTGTTAACCCCTTAAGGACCGAGGACGGTTCAGGGCCGTCATCGGCATTTTTGCCTTGCCGACCGATGACGGCCCTGAACCGTCCTAACGGTCTGGGGGTACTTACCTGATCGCCGTCGTTCCCCAGGCAGCGATCAGTGTTCCTCCGGTTGTGGGGAGACTGCCTGCAGCCCAGACAGTCTCCCCACGGCAGATTAGGACCCCTGTGGCCATGTGATCGCTTAACACAGCGATCACATGGTCACAATAGGTGTCCATAGTGTCTGCCTGCAGGGGGACTGTCTGTGCTGACAGGCAGTCTCCCTGCTAGTGTAAAATCAGAAAAAAAATTAAAGTTAATGGTAATAAAAAAAATAATAATAATTATATATGTATAAATATGATATATAGACATATATTATATCTATATAATATATGTCTATATATCATATATATATATGTCATACTAAGTGTATTTTTATATTAATATGTACTTATATTAATATAAAAATACACTTATAATTAAATTACACACGTATATATATAATATATATAATAACTATATATATTGTATATATATATTATTATAAAATATAAATAATAAGTAATTTAAATTAAATAAAACATTTTTAAATAATAATAAAAAATTTAAAAAAAATTATATAGCTATATGAAATTTTATTCTAACTGTATTTTAAAATTAATATATATATATTTATATCAAAATACACTTAGAATGAATTTGTATATATATCTATGTATATAAAAATAAATAAAAATAATAAGAAATATACATATGTCCATATACAAAATTACATAAATAATTATATAAATATACACGTAGACTTCAAATATATAAATATGCATATATATTTAAATTCTACGTGCGTATTTATGTAATATTTTTACATAATTCAGTAATTTTATTGATTGCAATTTGAGGGACCTGCCTGCCAACCCAGGCCGAAATTCCAGAGAATTTAATTTGCTAGCACTGTATTTTACCCTGTAACGTTCTACGACACCCTAAAACCTGTACATGGGGGGTACTGTTTTACTCGGGAGACTTCGCTGAACACAAATATTAGTGATTCACAACAGTAAAACATATCACAGCGATGATATTGTCAGTGAAAGTTACTTTTTTTGCATTTTTCACACACAAACAGCACTTTTACTGATGATATAATTGTTGTGATACGTTTTCCAGTTTTTAAACACTAATATTTGTGTTCAGCGATGTCTCCCGAGTAAAACAGTACCCCCCATGTACAGGTTTTATAGCATTTTTGAAAGTTACAAGGTCAAATATATGGGTCAAATATTTTTACATTGAAAATGGCCAGGTTGGTTACGTTGCCTTTGAGAGCGTATGGTAGCCCAGGAATGAGAATTACCCCCATGATGGCATACCATTTGCAAAAGAAGACAACCCAAGGTATTGCAAATGGGGTATGTCCAGTCTTTTTTAGTAACCACTTGGTCACAAACACTGGCCAAAATTAGCGTTCAATTTAGTTTTTTTTTTACATTTTTCACACACAAACAAATATGAATGCCCACTTTTGGCCAGTATTTTTCATTAGTAGCTACTAAAAAGGCTGGTACCTCTATATTAACTTCCCTGATTTGTCTACTTTAAAAAATATGTAGAGGTATTTATTCAAGGTATGACCAGGGCCGGCCTTTGGGGTGTGCGAGCTGTGCGGCCGCACAGGACGCCATGGCAACAGGGGCGCCGGGCGGCCGACACAGCTCGCAGTTGCTCTGTCACTGGCCGGCCCGAGATTGTCTGTGAGCTGAACTGCGGTTTCCGGAACGTGGAGGAGGAGCTTGGGGGCGCAGCCGCACAGGCGCAGCGTGCAAGTGCTGCGCCATCACAGAGAGCCGCGGAAGGATCCGCTCAATGTGTGAGGGCGGCGGCCGGTGCTCTGCAGACAGGGAGGAAGCAGCAGACTTCAAAGTAA